TTCTTTTATCATTCATTTCCAACAATATTAAAACAGTTTCTTACAAGATATTATTGTTTTTTTACCATGCAGGAGGTGCAGTTGTTGGTTTCCTGACACATACGAGACATTTGCATACCAAGCCGCCTTCTTTTTTCGTTACTGTGGCTGTATCGTAATATTTTTGCGGACAGTGCGTCGAGCCGCACACATCAAGGTCACAGTCTGTGAGGTAAACACAAATCATTATTTTACTTCGTTGACTGTATAAAAGAGACTCAGTAACCTTTTCCTAGTTCATTTATAATTTGGTTTCACCATATAAACTGAGGAGTTTTACAAGAGTTCCAGCCCTTAGAAAAGCCGTAACTGCGCACGTGTAAAATAGTGATAATTTCATCACATGTGTTTGATATCGCAAATCAGCTATTGACATGTTACTCGCCTTTCGCGTCACTCTGTCGATGCAAGGAATGGCAATGGAAAGTGTTCATCATTCTCAATGCAAAGTCGTTTATCGAACTTTCTTGTCAGTAAAGGCCTGTGGTGTTTGAAAAATAAACACTCCATACATGGTTGCTTTTATAGATATGGAATTTCTCCTCTCGTGCCTCACCCGTAAGCTGCGGCGCTCATTTCAATAACATCAAATCGAACACTTGAAGAGAAATTCAATATCTACGCACCTCCATGTATTGTTCTCCTTTTATCAAGGGAATTGATGATGCAGACATGTTTTAAACATAAAAAGCAGACGTGAAATTCCCACTTTGAAGCTTTTGCTTCGCTCTCATTTCAAGGACCTTTAAGAAATGATTCATGTTGAACAAACAGAACTTTAAAAAGTAACAAGTGTTGAAAGGACTTCGGCGAAGAGACTGTTTTCTTTCCTTACGAGAACCCAAACAATTTACTAGCATGCAATGAGAGATGGAAAAGTATTGAAGCTTTTCAAAAATCATTTGATTGAAAAAACTATTACAAACTTAAGTCAGTTCCAATGCTAGAGATTAGTCAATCATATATTCTTTCATTATATGGTCAGCAAAATTTTCAACCGTGATACAAAAAAATGCACCGTCAGGCTGGCAATTGCAACTTCTCCAAAATTGGACTGGAACAATTGAACAACCAAGATCGTTCACAAAGCCGACCACGAATGCTCGATACAAAAGGAATTTTAAATCAAGGGAACAGCTATAACAATGGCATTTTTTGCGGCACGCAACATCTTACATAATTATTTTTTCTCTTAATGAACTACGAAAAAACAGTTAAAAAAATTAAATTGAGACTTTTTACCTAAAAGGGCACTTGCATTTTAGTCATGATTTTATAACAACAGTCTGATATACGATGGCTGATTTATGTAGTTTGTGAGCTGGTAAATGGAAAAGGTTTATTGATTGGAAAAACGCCTTACCTAACTCTGCTATTATTGTTGTTAAACAGCAAAGGAACGCAATGATAACAATAATCGCCATGTTCTCCTTTCAAAATACTTCGTTGACCTAAGCGAAAGAGAAGGAGACAGGAAACGATCAAGGGTGAATAAAATTTAAATCAAAAGAAGTTTACAGGTCTTAAGGGTGACAAAAAGAAACAAATTAGCGGTCGAGGACTTAGGACAAATACTCGAACCCTGATTCTCGGGCTAGGCACGTGGATCTTCATGGCAATATTGATTATACAACGTGAATAGAAACACATCAAGCATCTTGAGCTCCATACCTCTAACAGAAAGGGACAGGAATTTCGAAAGGCTGATGGGGGGGGGAGGGAGGGGAGGGGGGGAGCCGTTTAAACACTTGAAAATAGACAATCGATACCAGACAGATGGAAAGTAATGTTTACCTTATAGAAAAAAGGCAGTTGGAATATTTACCTTTTGACAAACGCCACCACACATTCACTCACCCAATTCTCTCTCTTTATCTTTTTAAAAGTGTATGCATTTTAAAGCGCTCGTTATGTATAAGCACCTTAATAATTATTTACTCAGCCACAATCACCATTGATTGCCAAAAGAAAAAAATTAGGATAGTCCAATGATACATTTGCATGCAGAAATTCAGAATAATTTGGTGCTTTTTTTGAAAGTCATTATTTAAAATCATACAATTTTTCAAGAAGAGTGCAATTGCTTATGTGAAAAAACCTTAGGTATTTTAGGCTTCAAGGTTGTTAAAACAGCTTTCTTAAAAAAACCTGAAATTCCCTCCTTCGTGTTTTCGTGCTGTTTAATAAATTCTAACGAGAGGATCTCCCTTAAATAACTCAATAGGGCTTAAAAAGATGTCTATCCATTATTTGTGATAAGCAGATGGTTAAAAATTCAGTAGAACATCATTAAAAGTTTGTTATGATGGACACGGAATAAAGAAGGGGGAAGACCACTCTATCTCAAAACAACTTGAATACATGTACTAATTAGCATGGTAGTTGCGTGAATGTTTTACCCATTTATCTTGACTCTCTGACACATTATTTTTCTTGAACACGCTGAAATACTGAAGTTGGCATGGTGTATATTATTCGTCAATCATACATAATTTATTCATTTCATAACTCAATTGAAGTACGTCGCGCGCAGACTGGTGCATAGTGCTGACTAGGCTTACTCTGTATAGATGATTATAATTACCAAAGTACTGTTCAATTCCGCGCAGTCGAAGGAAACAAAAATGGTTTCCCGTTTCGCTCAGGTAACGAAAGAGCGTGAATTTCTTGGATTGAAAAGGAGGCTGTTGGACAATAATGACTTAATGAAATAATGACTTAAATAAAAATATGAACAATGACAATTATAACAAAAATGCGACAGAAAAATAAGTTTGGTATGACAAAACTAAATGGTTATTTAGTTTATAAATTTTATATAATTTCCATCCTATTAATCTAAGACTACTAATCAAAGTTGAAGTTAACCCGAACTTTCGAAAAACATCTTGGCAAAGATCTAGTTTTTTCATCGCATTGTTACAAGACGATATAGAATACTAATGGAAACATAACATACCCGAGCAGAGATATAGTAGCATTCAAGAGTTCTACTTATCTGCGGGAAAGTGAAAAGAAAGCGAAATGGTTATTTTTTTTTTTAGCAATAATACATTTGCTGGAATGGGAATTATACGACAAGGTTTTCACAGGTTTAATTTACGAGTTTCTGTTGATTTATTCCCTATTGTCAGGTACAAATAGCATGTCTGGTTTGCTCTCTTCACACCAGCAAGACATGTTTAGGTAAACCAGGTGTAACGGGATGAAACTCAGCAAAAGAATACTAAAAACTTAATTTTACAAAGGGTTCAAGTACTAACTAACTTTCAACGGGTTGGTTTGATTTTAAGTCGACCAGCAACAGTTTAAGCAACTTCAAAGGAAAAAACAATTTCAAAACGTGATTGACAAAACAGCTTTAAAACCTGTTTTAGCTTTGGTTTGAGCGGTGCATACGACAATATATCGCTGTCACTGGAAGTGGTAGAATATTATTTGCCTTCACTTCCATAAGTGTTAATTATAATTTTAAAAAATTTCGGCTCTCGTCGTGTTCGAGGGTTTTGTCTTTATTTTCTTGTTCTTTACCAATCTCGTTTAATGTCAAAGTTTTTGCCCAAATTCAAGCCTGGTTCCGCGTCATTGTTTCAACTGACACTGGCATTAAATTGTTTATTGCAAATCCACAAGTTTCAAGATGATTTAGAAGGTCAGCTTTAAGCCACTCAAGGGGCCAACCATAGATGTCCCGTTCTTGGACGAACTTTGTACTTTGAGGAAAGGGGCAGATAGAGAGGAAGCGACGGATACAGTCACATACATGTAGTACTAACCTACATCATCCTTCGTCAATTGCTGTCGGAATAAAAATTCAGATTACCTAAATTTTTACCTGGTGAAATATCCTTAAGAAAGTTTCCTCCTTGTTCTGTAAACCAACGGTCGGGAGCTTCTGGTTGTGAGTGCGGCTTGTTTTTAAAGGCAACGCAATGAATAAAAGTTTACCAATTTTATAGTCTCCCGTAGACGTTCTCTGCTGGCGAGTTCTTTTCTTGTGCGAGACAGCACTTTCATTATTTTGACGGAAACATCCTTTATGTTGCAATTTGCTTGTCTCAAATACAAAAATTAACATTTTTACGCATTTAGAGTGTCATTTTTTCTCTCTCCGTCGATAGTCTGATCATTCAGTCTTTATTCTAGAATGTTTATGTAAATAACTAGTAGAAACTCTAATATGCAGGTTAAAAAAGCCAATTAGAAGTTTTAGTTGGGAATCGCTGACAAAAGAGATTTTTGTAATCTGCTGTTACCAACTCAAGAACCTAAAAATTGTCACATTTCGTGATCAGGTCCGGAAAAACTCATAAATATCGCAGCAATTGCTTCCTAACTCAAGCCACGATAAGGAAGGAAACCAGCTGGAAACTGATATCAGTTTTTATTAAAACTTCTCGCCCCCGTTGTAGCTAGCAGAGCAAATTCAAACATTTGTCATTCTCAATGACCTCACGTAGCGATCATACAATTGGTGTGTAATAGCTTTTTGAGTATCACTTGCTCTCCAAATTATGGACATGAAATATATTTATTAGCGACTTTTTTATTAATCTTCGAAAAAAAATAAATTCTGTTGTTTTAGATAATCTGGTTTGTCCATGCTTTTCTTTTAAACTATTACATGTTCATCCGATTTTTGTCTTCGGGCCTGTCTTCATTGGATTTATTACTTTGAATGATGAGTTTAACAAACGTCATCCGGTTCATTTCCCCGTTAACCAGGCGATTCTCATGAAAAAGAGATAACTAGTGAATATCAAGTTTTGAAAACAGTAGTAAAACAGCCAAAATTACTAATTTTGACTTCCTCTACTCATTTTTGTTCTCGATGGAACACACTCTTTGTTCAAAGAAAGCTTTTGTTGCCTTCTGTTAAAAAAATATGCAATCCTAAGATCAAGAGTATGAAACATAGAAATTGTATGTCGACTGAAATAAATAAAACAGAATGACTCGTTGCGGTCCACGGCAGAGATTAGACTTTATTCTCTATTTATAGTATTTTAAAATATCACGAACAACAACATTGACAACAAAGGGAAATTAATTGAAAAAGCCACCAATCAGGACGGCTTTGTTTAAGACATGACATTGAGCTTTATGTTTATTTGATTGGCTGGGCAATGTCCATTTTAACTGTCCCAAAGGTAATGTACAGATATCTACGCACTCGGAAGAACTGCAAAAAATAAGAAAAAATATTAACTCAACTCACTAGTCTTTACTGTCGTAACAAACTGCCTAAGGCGCGGGAAAATGAGTGCGGCTACTTCATGCTTGGTTTAAGCTTTGCATCTGATTGGTCGAGGGAGTGGCGCGAGTTTTCTGGGCCAATTACAGAGTAAAGTAATGAAAAACCAATGCAGTCCTGGATAACTTTTGACACTCAGTTGAAAACTATTTTATTAGAAACCAATTAGTTGTACTTGTAGGAATTTATTTTTCTCGCTCACCTTAAATGCTGGATTAGTGATGCTATTTGAAGAATTGACACCTGTTCATTCATAATAAGGACTTTCACCTTCCTCATAGAATTCTGGTTCAAAAAACCCATCCCCGTCAATTCCGTAACTGAAATAAAGAAAGCCAGAAATATGTTTCTCTTTAAAACAAGGCACACTTTAAGTGGACGCACATAGGATGCAGATTTAATGAATCTAACAGAGTCAAACATCAAACAAATGGAGTGTTTTTCGATTGGGTGTCGTAAAATCACAACCGATGTTATTTCAACAGCCAACCATAGGAATGGAAATAACCTTTAAAAAGCCCATTAGAACTCAAAGCAAAACGCGCTAAATAACCTAAAGCGTGGGAAAAAGCGGACAATCAAGTCGTGATTGGCTTAGCTTTTTAAACTGATGTGTTGAGAAAATGGCACGAGTTTTCTGGACCAATCACATAGCGAAGTAAAACGAAAACAAAACAATCCCAGATTGCTTTCGACATTAATATTGAAAATTGCTCTAACATACCGACTGAGTGTAGAACTTACTCTATAAAGTGAGACACAGAAAATCTCTCCGGTGGACATTCGTATTTAGGGCATTTGCATTCAGGAACTGATGTCTCCTCAAGTTCCATGACAGCTTCCTGTCCATCAGAACACGTGATCTGGTCGTAGTACCTCTCGCAAAGAGGTTCACACATGAAGAATGAATAACCTTCATTGACCACACATTTGCATTTGTATTGACAATCCTGAAGGGCTACTGACTCTCCAGGGTATACTGGTTTGGCTCCATGCATGCAGAAACCTACAGAAATAAAGTGGTAAGAAACTAAATTAGGTTGAACTTCTCTCACCCAAAATATAAGCAGGGTAATTTAGTGTTATTAACTGAGTTATAACGTAAATTGGCCACCGTAAAGAGTTTAAAGGCTGACGTTTCGAGCGTTAGTCCTTTTTCAATCGCTCTGACGAAGGGCTAACGCTCGAAACGTCAGCCTTTAAACTCTTTAAGGTAGCAAATGTACGTTATCAACTCAGTTGATAACACTAAATTACCTTGTTATACTTTCCCACCGACGCAGCACCACGGTTTCTTTAGAAACTTACCCCCCCCCCTTTATTCAAGATATAAATAGTTTACACCTATCATTTGTGAAGCTTGGTGTAAGAAATAGCTTCAAAAACGGTTAAATTCTACTTCAAATTCAGAGACAAGTATCTGAGGGGGGAAGTCAACACAGTAGATTTTCCTTGCAACTTAGTTTTTATTATGAATGCTATAAAAAATACATTGCACGGCGGCGAAATTTCTAAACCTTCACCTTACTTGATAGTTCTGCTATAAAAGGTTTCTTCAAATGGTAAACTCTTGCGGTCACTATTGAAAAATGTAGACTATGAAAGCCTCTGGTATAGGTCTCAAAGGACATAAAGATTTACACTTTCACTGAAAGGCCTCTACGGAATATGTGATATCAAAGAAAATAGTGGTCTCATTTTTTTCTCTTAGTGATATTTATGGTTTTTGCATCTTGTTCAATAGCAAGATGAAAGTTGATATGAAGAACTGACACGTAGGTTAAAACAATTTTGCATAGAATACGGCTTGGATTAAATCCTTATTCATCTTTATCAAATTGCTAGCTATTTCATGACAAGAATTAGCATTACCAGAAGAGGAAGCAATGGTAGCTGCTGACGTCATGGAGAACATGGTTATGGAAGTAACCAATAGGATACAAGCTGACAACATTGATAACATCGCTATTCTGTTTCTTCTGCAGATAAATAAAATCAAAGTTTTAGTGGATACGCAAAAGATAGTCGACCAAACTTCATGCGTCGTTTCTGGGAAAATTTATCTCAATAAAATGAAATGAAAACCTTCAATCTGAATTTTTCCAAAGAGTTAGTTTGAGGGAAGGTCTACGAACTAGTTCGATCTCCTCATGGTAGAAATACTGTCAGGCGGTTACTTCTTTAAATTTTTCTTTCCTCAACGTTCAACGAGAGGCAAGTGCCTAATGAACCACTGAAATCATAAACAAGGTTACTTTGGCCGTCGAATGAACTGAGTTTACATGGTATGCCGCAGGTGCAGTGAACAGTGTGTCTCCCACGAAGCACAAGGCCGGTAGAATTAATTTGAAAAGACGGAGGAAAAACTAAGGCAACCGAAACAAGAGATAAATTTGTCTCATATTTCATTGTCAAAACTATTAACAACAGCTTAGTAAGATAAAACAAAGGCAATGCTAATGAAATCATGATCCTGCAGGGCAGTATATCAAAGTAAAAATGGTATAATAAATGTAAACGTTTGAGAAAATTAAAGTTTGCCTAAGTCTTCCCAACTGGATGTAGATTTCGCAATGGACAAAAGAGAAGGAGCAAATCAATACACGTTAGAAGTCCGTTTTACATGCACGAAATTTTAGAAGTGAAAAAAAAAATAAATAAAAAACAAATGAAATATAAAAAATAACCCAAACCCTAAGACATGAAATTACCGATGAAACAACCAACCTGAAAAATATTAGTGGAGTCTGAAATAATCCTAAGTTGAAAACCAGGATAAAAAGATACTTGATGATGAAATCGTTCAGGGACGAACGCAGAGATAAGCTTTGTCTTGATGTGTTTTTTCGTCCAATAAATATTAGTAAAAGTGCTTTGTTGCATTCAGGTACTTGGTGTCAAATTTGAGATAAGAGTTTTTAAAACGTTGCGGAAATATGGCCATAAAAATAAAGAGAATGAAAATTCGTGAATGGCCGAGGCTTTTAAAGTTCTGAACTGTTCTTGATGTCGTTTTGGGGATTTCTCATGTTTTTGTTGTCATTTGTGACATGTTCATGGGTTAGGCTAATTGCGAATTAATGTACGAAAAATTAGCTAACTTGCAATGGGAAATATAGAAGAAAAAGAGAAAAGTTGATTAAAGTAGGGATTTCTTACAATAGCAAGATAATTACCATAAAGAAAATGTCGTAGTCAAACTTTTAACTTACCAACCGAAGAGATACCAGTGAAAGCGCTTTTAAAATTCTGTCAGACTGCAACTAAACGAACTCTCGGCGCAACTTAAACAGTACAATGAATGTTTTGAAATAACTGGCATGTTTTTGTATATTTTCGTGCTATTAGTTATTATAAATGAGCTTACTGACGCAAATTTGTTGTTCTGAATATATGTACACAAAGTTTTCGATAAAAGAGATCTTGGTAGAAACGATAATAAAAAAGCAACTGCCGGACGCAAATTAACGCGAACAATGAAAAGGCCAATAACATGGAACTACGCCTAAGGAGGTAATTAATTAAGTGCCTTTATTCCGTGAAGGAAGCTTTGAATTCTCATAAATTTACTGAATCTAGGGATTTTCGTTTATCTAACTTATGCGCTTTCGGTATTTTTCCGCTTTCGTAAAATTAAATATTTGAATTTTGATTCTTAAAAGATGTTTTTGCCATTTCAAGTGTATCAGTCGACCGTACGTGTGTGTGTGTGTTTTTTTTATTTTTATTTTTGGAAAATTTCTACATATTTGTTGTCAAAATTACCACAAGAACACAGTTTATCAATTTCTGGAAATGTCATCATCTTGATTATAGACGGTCAACAATTACGTGCGAACTTATCGCTTGACGTTGACAGACGCAGACTTTGCACTTTTAGAACAATGGCCGGCTACATTTAGAAGTCTTTTGAAATGCAAATATGTGCACGAAAAAAAAATTACGTAAAAATGTTTCAAATATGATCTTATCCAATGCGATAAAAAAGGAAAAACAACTTTAATCTTTCAGGATATCTTTGCTTCTTTTAACTTAAGTCTCTTACTTTTTGTTCAAAGGTTATCGGAGTGAAACGAAACGAAAGAAAAAACCATTGTGAATTTATACAGGAAATACGCAGTCTGTTTTAAAGGAGAAATTCCAGTTATTGACACACCTCACAGAATTAAATTTTTATGAAAGGAAGTGTTGTAATCCCTTCTTTAAGCCAGATGTCAATGTTGGTTTTTTTTTTTTTTTTTTACCCTAAATTTTAACTTAAAACACACAAGGCGACAATTTGAGGTGGCTTATAAGTCGATGGTGCAGGGAGTAGCGACATTCCGTCTCGTGTGACAGGAATAGTTTTTGCTAACATCTTCATTCCTGCATCCAAAATCTTGTCTCCGAGATAAAGGCTACAAATTCAAACAATCAAAGGGCTTCGTCACGTCTCTCTCAACAGAACTATATCGTTTAGAGTACTTTGTAGGAAAGCGTGGTAAACTGGAGTCCATTAATACCATATAAAACTCGGTTGGTATTTCATTATAGCTGCCATACGTTTCCGCTTTCGGTGAATCCTCAGGATTTCTGTTTGGTCGCAGCAAGATCACTTCTGGCAGAGCCCCGCTGTTGCAACCGGAATCTATGTAAAGATTGTCCTTCATTCCCTATTGGAAGATCCCCTTTGGCCAAGGTAGGATATCCTCTCTTATGTAGACTTAACACCTAGCGAGTTCATGCCACAAAAATGAATGGTACCCGTCCAGACGGAAACAATCGAAGATCCCGCGACCGAACCCCTCAAAACCTTCATTTCCTTGATTTCACTTGAGGTTGGTGGCAGGAAGTCAGCTCCATTATCATTTACAGACTATAGGCTTGCCCTCGTTCACTTATATACCGATGTTATCTGTAATGTATAAACCCAATCCAGAAAAAAATGAAGGCAAGATCAGGAGAGCGCTTTTCCATTCTGCAAACTTCAATCTCGTGTACAATCCAAATATGGAAAACTGGTCATGTGATATTGGGTAAAAAATAATAATAAAAAATAATAATAATAAAACGGGAAGATCTAACATTACTGCAGTTCACGGTTTCTCTTCGTCAGACTCTACTTCAAATCCTGTTCCAGAAATGGCCCAACAGCTCTTTCAAGGCTGAGCTTTCACTGGCTCGTAAAGATTAACATATCATGCGTTTCTGTGGTTACTGAATGATCAGAGCTGGGCAAACATCGTTCATAAGGCAACCCAAGGTAGAGTAGGGCCAGGCCACCCTGCCAGCCAATGCAGCCGATGTTTTGAGTTTAAGAGTCAATCGGTTGTTACTTAAAAAGTCTACGGATTTTGTTGTGGATTGCCTCTTTTTCGCTGCTGAGAAAAAAAAAAAAAAAAAGAAAACGGGTTTTGGCGAACTTAAGATGAATTTATACTTCTGTCAGGGCTTATTATTGTTACATTTTTAGATCTGTTCAGAGCTGTGATCCCGTTTGGTCTCTTTTTTATGTAACTGTAATAAATTAAGCTCATACCATGTGCTCTCACATATTCTGTTTGTGTATTTAACGATGGAATAACATTACTAAGATTAAACAAAGCATTTGAACTTGTTCAAAAGTATTTCAGCCTTATATGGTCGTGGAAAGGAAAGAGGGTTATTAAGCAAACAGGAAATACGTACTGTGAAGCAGGCAAATTGCGACAACAATTTTGCTTACGTTAGTTTTTATCTCTTGATCAATGACGCATTAAAGAACCCCTATTTTTTCTTTAATTGCTTTAATTTCAAACAGGCTTCGTTTCCAATCTATACCGGCCTTGTCTATATTTTTAGAACCGTCTGGAATGGAATTAATAGAGCGACTGTTTTTAACAGTGCACATCCATTGCAAACCACGTACTGATATTATGATAGAATTTGATAAAGCTTAAACACATACTTTTTAACCTCTGATCGACATCTGGAATTTCAAATTTGCCTTAGGTACATATTACACGCCTTCAAAATCCCTAAGCAATTCTTCACTTTCAATATCTCCTTGACCTGCTTTGACTGTTGTGTGATTTATGAATAATGAGGACAGTCAGAAGAGGGCTTTAAGATAACACGGCAACGGAGGCGTATGGAATCTGGGAAATTGCTTATAATCACACGCCTTACAAGGCTTATTTACAAAGCAGGAAAACCGCGTTTTGATGTGAAACGCAGCCCATTGCTACTTGATCCGGAAAGTTGATTGCATTCAATTCACGAAGACAATTCAACAAAGTGCAGCTAAAATGGTTTTTAAGCGTACGATCCTTTTTTTGGCTCTGGGTTTATCTTTCTGCCAGACGGAATCAAAATACCTTCTCCATCCGAAGTTCAGAGGAATGATTATGGAGAACAGTTTTGACGAGGCATCAGGTGAGGTCAATAGTTCTAGGCAAATTTCGTTCCAGCCTTTATATTTCTCTTGGCTGATATGATTTGGAAAAGAAAACGACAGTAGCAAATAAACAAAGCCTTACTATTTAGTAGCTTATTTTAAGCGTTGGGACACCACTATTAATTAGCCGAAGGCATATGCATTGTATACGCAAATAAATGACGGTCAAGTTGATTCGTAGCTCCGTTGCTTTGAGTTTGTGTTACTTTGTCACAGATTTCGTCCTTAGTAAGTAAAGGTAGACCCATTTCATTGATTCCGTCGCTGGAATTTAAACACAGACTCACAATTCATTACCTTTTCTCGACTGACCTTATTCAACCGGGGTGGAATTTTATGTTAACGCAGTAGAATTAAGTTACACGTTTATTTATCCTTTGGGCAAGGCAAAGGCTGGGCACTCAATTAAAAGAAGCTTCTTTAAGTTCTCAATGGGATGATGGTTTTTGCGGCTAACGGCTAAAATTTTTGCCAATTTGCGGCTATCGGTAAATATCTTTCCACTGCTGTAACCAGAAATTTTTTTACGGTTAACTTTTTCTACCACTAACGGTTAAAAGTTCCCAAATTTTTACGGCTAATGGCTCAATGTTTTGGTCGCTTTACAGCCAACGGTTAACCCCATTGAGATCCTCTTAAAAAGTTTTGAAGCCGTTGAAGTCGTTCAAAAATAAACTAAAAAACCGAATCCTCAAATTGCCAAGTTTGTACTTTATCCACCGCCATTGTCGATAGTTAACGTTTCAAAAGAGAGGTCAGATCTCGAGCCCTGATAAGCCATACGGCGGGGCTACAATTCTCGCATGGAAATCGCTTTAATCTCTATAGCTTATGTTATAAACAGTGAAAATAGGATTTGTGACGTATCTCGTTGATTCCTGTTATCTTTTCGTAAACGGATTATACGGGGGTCTGTATAGCGTGACTCCGACAGCGCAGAGAACGTGCGGTTACTTCTCATTATAAATAGGAGAATCTAGAATCCGATGAAATAACTTCGGCGCGCTATGTATCTCCACATAACTAAACGAGTGAAAACGCTTCAGGATTTTACTACGATAATTCAGGAATTCCTCTGTAACAATTTGCGAAAGGAATAAAATTAACTATGCGTCACCTTTTAGGAATTGGAAAACTTAGTATAGACGAAATATATTGCAGCATACATATGTACTTCATCGGTGCAACTGATCCAGAAATCTGAAGTTATTACTCTCAAAAGTATGCTATTAAGCCAAATAACCGGAAATATCATTCATGTGGCGTACTGACGGGATATAAATTAACAGATAAGGACAAAATGCGAGGGAATATGAACTTTTGCATGTATAGCTTGAGCTCATGGGTTATGGGACATTTGTTTTTTGAAAGAGAGTTCTGAAAAGTAAGCTTTGTTAATGAAGACAATATTTTTCTGGACATTTACACAATCTTTGCAACTGTTCCTTGCGCGCCCTTCGCTCGAACTAACGAGGAATGCAGGTATAAAGAGTATGAACGCATTACAATAACTGGCTGAAAATTGTCTGTTAGGAGAAGATTATATCTCTCGGACTTGATTGTAGACATACTGCGAAAAATTATCATTTTACCACCAAGTTACACTTAAAAAGAAACTGCGTGACAAAAAATATATGTTAGAGATAAAATGAAATTTGCTTAGTGAAAAAAGTTCCTATTGTCACAAAGGTTGAGCAGGGAGGGGGGTGGGAGGGGGAGATATGAAACGAACGTCGAAGGAAGATATCGTGAGTGAGAAACGGACCAGAGACCTATGAGAACAGCATAAGCGAAAGGGTGCCTTGAGAGAACTCGACCTTGGTATCTCACCTGTAAGGAGGTGAGGTTGGACGTACAGGACGGAAGGATTGGTGTTGCGGGGAGAGAAGGACACGTGGCGCTGTAGTAAGGGGGCAGGTAGAGATATTAAGCATACGTAGCCAATTCACATAGCTTAGGACTATTGACTGAAAAGGAATATCGATTTGAGTGGAGTGGAAAGAGGAGAAAGAGAGAAAGAAAGGATGGAGAATGAACTTTTTGGATACATGACGAGAAGGCGGAGGAGAAGGAGGAGGAGAATGGCTATTGTGGGATTAAACAAAAAGCAGATTTTGCCTACAAAATTTATTTCCTGTGTAAAATTGACTCGTGACCTGGCTCTCTCTTCTAACCACAGGTCGGTGTCAATATTTGGACCACCGCTATGATGAAGGACAAGTCATGGTTCCAGATGACAAATGCAACTACCAGTGCACCTGTTACGTGTCTGAATACTTTGTCGGATTTCTGTGCGAGCCATTGTGTCATAGATACATTGACTACATTGACTGCATGCCAGGATATGAGATGAAAAGTCGTAGGGTACCTGCCGGGCCTTTAGAGTTTGGATGCGAGTGCAAAGTGTTAGAGTGTGTTCCATCCTTCGATATCGAGTCATTTCTCAACTCTCGAAAATTACAAGGGATGTAACTCTCTCATGTGCGAGAGTGTAATTTTGACATTGGTAAACCCTAAGCAACCGAAGAAAGAAATGTTTTTGTATCCCCATTTATCGATAAGGAACTCGTTATATCTAAAAAAAAAAAAAACTAATGACTCCTCCCTATTGACAGTCATTTCTCTATGATCCCTCCTTTATACCCTGTTAGCGACGACTGATGCCCCCACCTTTCCCCCCTGACAAATATGTGATCTCCCAAACCCCCCTTAGGGACCGATTAGTGACTGGTTCCTTACCCAAAAGACTATCAACTTTCTCTATTTACTGTTTAGACGAGTGCTAGATGAATCTGTGTGAATCTGTGTGGAACAACAGTGTAAGCGTTAACGCCACTTTGACTTTTATTAAACGTTTTTGCTTCGTTTCTAGTTTCTATTTTTCTCAAGTTGCTTCTAGTTTATCTCTACAATCCACCCGGTGGTTCTACGTCACATTGCTCTGAAAAAAAAAAACAGTGATAACAACAGCAAATGTTAACCAATATTAAGAATTGAGTAAATATATATTTCCAGTCATCCTCTGTTCAAGAAGAGTTATTTTTACAGTAAGTGCATGTACTCCTCTCGCCGATGAGAGGACAGACACACCCAGCGTGGAAAAAAAGGTACTTACCTAGAGCACGGAGTTCAAAAGAAAATTACAGACTGATATAGTTGACGATATCTTAAGGTAGCTTGTTGTAGTTTAAACCTTCTCGTCGCTAGTATTTCATGAAATTTCTTGTAGAACTTGCAATGGAGTTGAGTATGATTAAGGCTACACTTTGCGATCAACTTTGACAAACGGTTCACACTATTATTATTGTCTCAAAAACGCTTAAAGTTGTACCTTTAACATGTTCACGTCGAACCCCTGGAATCGTCGTCTTCGTCTTACTCGCCTGTAGAGAATGTACATTAATCACTTTATCCTTTTATTTTCAGCAAAAATTATCAATAGCTATAAAGATAAATAATGATCTTATGAAGATTACCCGCGGTTTCTTTTTCTGTGTCGCTTTTCCAGGGCCAAAGTCGATCATCTTTTTCGAGAAAAAACAAAGAAAATTTGAATAAGGGACGAAAGTAAAAAGCCATTTAACGATAAATTTTTGCAATTGTCGTGGTGAAGCTTTAAAAAACAATATCCGCAGATACCTTTTTTGTCATCCCTTTGCCATGGCCAAAACCGCTCATCTTATCATACAATGAGAAAAAGAAAAAAAAAACGTTGAAAAATCACAAAGCAGCTGTAAACTGAAACAAAAGATACATTTCTATTGCGCTACTGAACACTCCTTTCTAGGCTAATTGTAGATGATAATCTTAAGAGCTTTACCCGTTGCATCTTTTTTAGCTGCGTCTCTTTGCCATGGCCAAACTCTCTCATCTATTTTGCAAGAAAACATAGTGGGACCTCATGAACAGCTAATAACATGTAACACGTAATCAGGCGCTCGTTTATGCTTATAATGTCAAAACGTAAATTACCTCAAGAAGACAGCCATTGCAGTAACTCTTGAACCGTAGTATCGTCCACTGAAAACTACATCTGGAACCTTTACTAGTACGGATACATACCTTTTTTCGCATCATTTGAACCTTGCCATGGCCAAATTCGCTTATCTGTTACTAGTATAGAAATGAAAGAAAGTGTTGATAACAAATTATAAAGTAAGTGAGCAAGTATGCCATCCTCATCATCAGGAACAGCAGCAGTTACAATACTTATAAATGCAATCACAATAAAGAATATACTACATCTCTGAAACCACAACGACAGAAACAAGACTACCGGCGGCATCTTTTTCAGTGTCACAAATAAAAGAAAAACTTGAAGGAAGAACAAAGCGAAAAGGCAATTTAACGATAGCTACGCAGAATTTTGTAAATGAAGCTTTCAAAAACAATATTCTAAGACACCTTGTTCGTCTTTGACGTCCCTTTGCCATGGCCATAAGCGTTCATCTTGTCATGTAGTAGGAAACAAAGAGAACATTAAAATGACACAATTTGGTATTGAACTAAAATGAAAGATACATCACTATTGCTACTGAACTCACCGTTGTAGACTAATTGAGGACAAATGCATATTCTTAGAAGTTTTGTATCAGCTTAATGATGTGTCAGGGTAGAATACGCTTAGCAAAAGGCAGCTACTGCTATAGGAACTGGTACAGAGTCGGTATTCACACTTTGACAAGTTTTCCCTGAAAATGTGTAATTTTCTCGACGGAGGATTCGGAATTATTATAATAAGAGTGAGTTTGAATGAGTTACTGTCGTCATCGCTCCAAGGCCATGATTTCTTGCCTTGACGATGTTTTACACGTTTCCTTAATGGACTTGTTATAAAATAAGATAAATTCATCCGACACCACTCATATCCGGTTTATTTTCATCCGCTGACAAGGTGGCAAAATGAGTGCCCATGCTTGCTATAGTTGAGCAGTATTCAAACATGGGAACAAAAATATTTCCACCGTGATATCTTTTGCTGCACCTTATTTTGAAAATTTTAACTGATGTCAGAACTAATGTCTCAGAATCTGTGATAAAGTCGTTGGACTTAAATTATCAAATATTCTTGTCATAAAATGTGCATGAAATTTCTCAAGTTGAAAAACAAAGGCCTGTGAGTGTTGCAAAAAATAAGGTAACCTTTATGTTGGTAAAAACATACGTAAAAAGATACAAAAAAAAAAGATGAAATAGCAATTTAAAAAGTTACCATTAATATCTTTGCTCTCGGCTTTGTCTTCAAATTTTGCTTCATCAGCTGTATGAGAAAAACACATTTTGACCCTGTACCCCAGCTTTACACCCTCACATCAGTATTCACAGGCTCCATACTGTTCCCTTATATTTCTTATGGTATTGATATGGAGAACTTGTTCAACTATCAAGAGCTTCTTAATTTAGTTTATTCTCGTGACCCTAATGTTCGATTCGATCATGTTACTGTAAAGAGAAATTAGATGCTGGTCACCCCTAGGTGTTAAAGGGTTAACCTTGAGTTTTAAAGGTGAAGTCTTTACGTTTAACAACCAGTTGTTTCGGTCAGGTAATAAAGTAAAGGCAATTACGTCCGGTGTTCCTTATAATTTTTCTTTACTTATGCAATGTGAGATGCAATGAAAAGAACAAAATTCGATATTTCTGTATTATAAAAACTGAATATTATTCCTTTTAAATCATGACGAAAGACTTTTACATGAAATATCCGATCTCCACTGAATATATCATCGGCTCATCGCTGAACTCACCAAGGGCCATTGAAAATACCAAAAGAACGCAAGACACCATCAGAAGCAGGTCAAGTCTCATGTTTGCTTTCGTCACGTTTTCGATATCTCTGGGGAGAAAAGATTTGTCACACGTTTTATGTTTGAAACCCTGAGCGCGGTAATTATTCACTTCCGAGACTGCGAGAACCGTTCCTTTTTTTCGTTTGCTTAGTACATCTAGAAAACTGTTTACTGTGACTTATATAAACGCACTAGATGTATATTTTTTGTAACCTCAATAACATTTCAAGTAAAACAATGGTCCTCGCAGATAAACTGCAAGAAGAGGCCCTAAAAAAGAAATCCAGGTTTCGACAGGATTTACATTATTCGAAATATTTCAAGAATGAAAATGTATTAAGAACAAGTTTAAAAGATACTTACCGAAATGGCAAATTCAGAGAGGGCTACTCTCAGAGCCGTCCCACTCAAGGTATTGCACGACTCACAATGATACCGATTTGTGCACACCTGCATTTAACCTGTGTATTCGACCGTGCTTCTTAGCTAAATTAGTTGCTCAAATATTGACTTTCTTGCCTAGTTTGTTGGCCAAAGATAATGGAAGTGTTTGCTGGGGAGGGAAACGCGAAATTTTGATTTTTTACGATTAAATTACTTTTAACTAACACAACCACCCAGTTTTATACAGTTCTCGGACTGAAAATAAGCGGGAGAAGTATCCAAACAAAGTGATAAATATCTGGGAATGGGGCAACTCTTTGCGAGGTTTAGAAAACAAAACTAATGTTTGAAATCAATAAATATACGCGCTTAATGGATTTGTGCATTTTTTTTCTTTCGGAAACACCGGAGTGAAGACAGTTGCTTGTTTAAAAACAAATATTTTTCTAGCACAAAAAAATTAGATATTGTCTAGCATGTGGCGTTTTGTTAAACAGGAAAGTGGAACTCAGAAATCTGAAATTGCAAGATTTCTAAAATTACCTGCGGAAATGACTGTTTTCTTAGCGCAAATATGAATTTTTGAACAGAGAAAACTCACAAAATACATATTAAGATAATACCATTCTGTGAGGATAAGAAAAATTGAAATAAATGGTTGGATCACAGGTTCGATGAATGGCAAACATTTTCACGCTGAGCAGTTTTTGCTGTTCCACATCGAAAGCAAATTACTGAAGATGATTTTTATTCGTTTATTCTATTTTTATTAATTATTTAAGAAGAAATCTTGCATTAGCCGGTTCAATAACGAAAACAAATGAAACGGGCAAATATTATTATAAGTTTCTACTTTGGCTTTTGTTTAATTGAGAACATTTGAAATACATCGATCACTTAAGTTGTCTTCGTTTCAGTTAAAAAGGCATGCATTTAGACTTATCAGCATGTATGTATTGTTATGTTTCTGCATGTGTATGTCTTCTGGTTATCTCTGAAGCCTTGCAGTGCCTTTTCTCGATTAAATTTATTAGTATCAAATCTTAAATCCTTAATCGAGAACCGATTGCGAAATCCTCAATATTTACCTGGGCGCAAGTACAAATTTAGACCAGCAATAAAAGTGTCCATTTTTCTCCGCGTTTTATAATTAGTTTCCAAGTTATCACGGGCTGGTTTACTTTTCTCCTAGTTTGATTTGAAATTTTCCAATTTCTATATCTGCTTTAAGACTTCCTCGTTTGGTTTCATTTCCGGACATTGTGCATTCTGTTAGAATGATTAGTTTTACAAAAGAAAGGAGCAACGCAATGGTCAAATCTAAGTGTCTTCATTTATAAGAGACTCAAAAGTTGTTGTAAAACCCAACACTACTTCGGCTGTGTGTTAAAAGCACCGTAACCTGGTCTTGCTTATGTTTATCTAAGCCTGGATAAGTAATTCTCTCGTATTTCCGTTCAATATTCCTGTGCAAATAGAATCTTGGGTTATTAACATGAGGGGTCATACCAGATAATTCTTAGGTGACAAAATGTTGCCACAAAATGAAAACAGGAAGTTACAGGGAAGACCTTGCTGGAAGAAGAACTAAACCATTAAAATTCAGTCTGTCTACAATTTGTTTTACCGTCGATTTTCAACCGGGAGTCACAGACGTACGGCATATGCGAATCAGGTAGCGGTGGTATACTAAATGTCGCAATACACTATATTGACGGTTAATTCGGTACTGTATTTTTTAAATTTTCTTTATTAACGCTTGTGAAGCGTACAGGTGTTTCATGTTAGCACATTGCAATTAATTCATACCCAGATTTAATAAATAGAAGGCAGACAGAGTTCTTGTTGAGAATTTGATTGTAAATTTTCAAAGAAACGCTCCTGTAGTCAGAATGAAGTTCAATAGCCGGGTCATTGCTTGTAATATGAACTAATTTACGCCTCTTTTAATAAATAAATCTTTCCAAATATTGGATATTTTACGTCGGTTCATAACCATAAAAGACTGTTGGCCCAAAAATATCAGGCCAGTTTTCATACGCATGATATATGAACGAGCGTAGAATTGCGCTCAAACGAGAGGGAAAGAAATTTGCGTGCAAAAGTAACTATGATCAAGAATTATAAGTGCTGACCGTAAATAAAGAGGCTTTTTTGGTTTCTACTTGTTACACTGTGATGTGAAAATTATCTTAAAAGCATGTTTAACGTCAGTTTAAGCACCAAGAAGTTTTTAGATAAATTTGTGAATAAAATTTATTTTGCAATGGACGTATACAATGCAATGAGTCGATTAACCAATGCACATGAGACTTCTGAAAATGGAATATATAAGTACTCGTATCCTATCTAAGTAATGCAGCTACATGTTTCCTCAACTTTCTTCCTGTCGTAAATAATAAAAAGGTAAAAAGTATTAGTTTATGTTCTATATATCAATATATGTATGTATTCAATGATATTTAATTAGAAAAATACACAACTATTTTGCTGCTCATGAAAAATTTCTTGTTCAGACATCTTTTGTATCAAGATTAATGGTTAGCGTTTCTCAACTTCTTTTATAGACGATGAAGAAAAACTTTCGCGACTAAAAGGAGAGAACGGTAACAATCAACAATAGTGTGAAAGTAAGACGGGACTTGTTTTACGATCTATCAATTTTGAAGACTGACAATCATTTGGGATTTGCCAGGATTGATAATTGCAGCAGCGAAAGCATAAGTATTCCTGGCGAGAAGGGAATCGACAAAAAAAATTCAAATGTACAAGACTAAATATGAATTATAGCAGAATGATGATCAGATACCTTTGTGTGGTCACTGTCTACACATTTCACATGTTCAAGGCATCATGCCATCAATAACCTCTTCCCAAATAGTTTTGGTTTCACGATCACTATAGGGAACTATAAAAACAATAATATGGTACTATCAACTGAGTTGATAACGTAAATTGGCCACCGTTAAAAGTTTCAAAGCTGACTCTTCGAGTTTTAGGCCTTCGTCAGAACTGCGTTTTAGAGAAGTTGTGTAATCTCCTAGCACTATGATACTCAGGCAAAAACAGGTAAACAAATGTTTTATTTGAACATAAGTGAGTCAATAGATAGATTTGGATGGATAAACAACGAGATAGATATAAATGAATGCATCACAAAGTGTTACAAACCGGTTAAAGAAACAGTATTTGTGGATGCGATGCATAGCTGTTGTGGCCCTTACGACTTACGATTATCATGAAGAGCTCTCTCGACTGCTTTCTTCGCCTCCTGATCAATCTCCGACCACATGTCTCCTAGAAAGCGGATTTATACGTTAAAAAAAAGATGTTCATCGGTTCTTGGTGTTGGTTAGGCGAGCAGGAAAGAGAGAAAAATCCAAGAAACCAACACGGATTGCAAACACCCTATCAAGACCTCGTTGCTGAGTTAGGACTTAATCCAAGGTTCGTAATTTGGTTTTCTCAACTGCATTGGTAACGTAAATTTACCACCGTCGAGATAAAGCGTTTCAAAGCTGACGTTTCGAGCGTTAGCCCTTCGTCAGAGAAAATGGACAACGAAGGGCTAACGCTCGAAACGTAAACTTCGGAACTCTGATCATAACAAATTACCTCGTTTATACTTTCCCACCGACGCAGCACCCCTTTTCTCTAAGGCCCTGTTTAATTGGAATTCGGTACCTAAAGAAACACCCCCTCCCCCATCCACAACCTCGACACGATTTTGCAGAAGGTCTATACGGAGTTTTGAGTTCTAACGACTGTCTCCTCAAGTAAAACAGTTTCTCTCGGCTAGCTTGGCAGGGTGCACATCGGATAAAATGGAGGATCGAAGAAAATAATTTTTAGATCGTTTCATTTACCTATCCTCCATTCATTTATTTCTATTGAAATAATAATCACATCTCGGGTTAGGGAGAAAAAGTAGTCATTTGAGAAAATTCGTCCCGCTTGTCAAGATTACCCTGCCGACTTACCCTGCCGACTTGCTCGCTCAAACGAGTTGTCTCGCCCCACGAGACAAGTTCGCGATTTTCGTGTAAACATTCGAAAAAACGGTCGAATTTTTCTGGCAGAAATGAGGAGTAACTCAGCGAGGCCGTTAATCAGTTATATATTTATCACGATTTTGGACGATAAATATGATTTGTAAGCACGTCTCTCACCTTTTCTCGGCCCTCCTGTGACAGTGAAACAAAATGGAAAGATGTTAATTATACATGCAAATGCAAAAAGGAAATTGAAAACAACATAAAAGCAAAGTTTTAAATTAAAAGACAGAACTTTTCAAAAATATGAAACAATACTACTACTAACTCCCAGTTCCACCACCAGGCAGCTCTCTTGTTCTGTATTTCTGCGCGACTGGATCTTTGATCAAAAATAGGAGATCATTATAAAAACGTTGGGTTATTAATCGTAACGAAGATACTCGTTAATGAGGAAATAGCATTTATTTCCCAATGCAGTCATTTTTGGATGCCAAATCGAGATGGTTTAATGGCAAACTGCCTGTCTTATTCGCACTGATTGCCTGAGGAAGATTAAGGAACGCTCAGTTAATGGGGGGGGGACATACGATAAAATTTTGATCGCCCATAAGGCTCTACAATAAAATTATGAACCCGCCCCTCCCCTCCCTCCTTACCCCCTTCTCCCCTTAAACTCTGTTGGCGACGAATGATCCCTCCTCTGTTTCCTTTGAAAACCATAAAACATGTGATCCTCGGCGATAAAAAATGAGTGGTCCCTAAGTTAGCAGCCTGAGTCGAAACTTGACGATCCACATCCAAAGCTTCATTTTTAGCAGGTGATAGTAGGTAAAAAACGTCGAAAAAGGGAACAATGCTATTTACCACGTTTTTCACAAATCGTGACAAATTCACCGTGAAAATAATAGCTGTGCACTTGATCTGAACGCTTTTTGTTTGTTCAAGTCAGTCTTCTCATTCATTTCCAAACACCTCAATTTTAAGGAAGATGACTTTGTTGATGACAGCACAATATAGTTATTTGCGATTGGTTCGGGAATTATTTTGCCTTGGTTGGTCAAACTATGAGACATCAAAGTAAACAGAGTAAGGAAGTTGGAAAATTTGGACAAAAAAAAGGTAACAGAACTTTTAACTTAAATGATTGTACCAAAACCTTCATGCTTCTTATACAAAGTGTATTTTAAAAGCCACCTGTTACGTCGCGAGACTTCAGTTCACTCTGTGGTATGACGTCGATATCTGTCAAAAGAATATTATTAATTTTTATTATTTTCTATCCATCGAGTGAATACATGAAAAAAGCAGTGAACTTTTTCAGGGGCTAGAAGATTCGAATTTTTTATAGCCTTTTTCAGATGTTCAGTTAGTAACACGGCGGGATGGCTACGGCAGGGCAAAAACGAGGGGAGTTTGGGTCGGGTCACGTAAAGAACAATTTGCAACCCGACCTATACCTCTCTCGTTTTCTCACTCCTCCTCTACTCTCGCGCTGTTTACCATCGCTCTTCGTTTATTCAATCAATCTATTTATCTCTATTTTTTTTACAAAAACAACGTACTTCTTCTTCCTTTTCTTGGCCCACCTGCGAAAAAAGAAGAGAAATTTTTAAAATTGGAGTTATTTGATCTCAGAACAAAAACAACGACTACACCAATAGTTTGAATACAAAAATGATTTAAAGTAATTTCTTACGCAAGCCATTTCCTCCATCAAACGATCCTTTTCCAAAAAATTGCATGTTTGGATCTAAAAAACATGAGGAAACATTCAGAACGAGACTGTCATATTCTAGACAGCTAAACGCAGTTTACGAGTTGTATGACAAGAATTGCAATCCTGCTAATAATATGATTTTGATATTCGCTCAATGAGTAGAAAACAACAGGTGTGTCATTTACACTATGCATCTAAATTGCATGAATCATACACATTGTAGGAAAGCTATAAATTGTTTCAATTCTGTTTCAAATCGAATCGTGGTTAGTGAGAAATTTTTCATTTCCTGTAGGGCGTGGCATAGTAACCTTCAACGTCATTAGGCGTTAGTTCCTTCTGCGGTATTGGTGCAACAGCAGCCTCTGCGGAAAGAAATTTCAACTCTATTCGAGATTGTTGTTATGCAATAGCCTAAGGCTTGCCTCTATCATTCTAAGAAATTATAAACTGAATGAATGATGAATTTGTAACTAGTCAACTATTGTTATGTACCTAAGAACATAATCAAACTAATAGATCGGTACGTGATACGTAAGATGCAAACCTCTCTTCCCTCTCCGCAGCCGTACCGCAAAAATAAACGACATTGAAAACATCTTAGTATATTTTTTTATTCTTGAGTCTCAAAATTTCTATGACAGACAAATAACTGATCCCTCCTTTACCCAGCTGAGGTGAGTCCCAGAAGTCTTTTAGGGTAGGAGCTTTGATTGCAACAGTAAATGTAAGAAAAGTGTCTCGAGTCATGCTTTTAATATTTTTTTCTTTAAGCTTTACTACCAACTACCAAATATTTATTCCAATTGTTTTTTTGTTATTTTTTTCAAGTATTCTATGTTTATAACTCTCTTGACTGTAATTAGTGGATGAGCTCTCTGAGCAATACTAAGCTCTTCACGTTTGTATCATAGTTTTTTTTGTATGTAACTGAAAAATTTGACTGTTATCAACTCAAATAGAGGCTCACTAAAGAAATTGGGGCAAATTTTAAATAATACATTCGGTGTAACCCTAAAAACCTTACTCATTTTTACACGTTTTGAGTTTTTTTGTGATGATCATTATAAAGTTTAGATTTAGAATCGTTTAAAAGGAAAATAAATCGGTATATTCTTTAAAATTCGTGAATACACATACCTGCCAAGGAATTGGCGATGATCAGGATGATGCATGACGAAAATATCAGTGCCCTCATTGTTACAGGATAAACCTGTGAAACGAGACGATAATATAAGATCCTAGCATCTCAGGTAAACTATATCGATAGTTTAAAAGCCGATGCTTATATATTGCAACAATACACTCATCAAACTTTGAACAACGAGTCAATATAAGTTAATGATCTTTCAGCGTATATGTATGTTTTCCTCGACCTTAAAAATGATGACTAATCCTGTAAAACAACTCGTTAGATTTGTTCGAATGTGCTAATTTTTGGCTATGGTGCATGAGAGGCGCTATTTTTTTTTTTTTCAAAGAGCATGTCTTTCAACTGTGCCTATAAAATGAATGATTTTCAAGAAAGAAAAAGGATCCACGGTCAAAACTTTATCTGTCTTTTATTGAATATGTACGAACGTGATTCAGAAGTTCTGAAAATTTTATTACGATAACCTGCCGTATCGGTTAAGAGGTAAAATATTGCGTTTATTCACTCACGAGATATGTGTTATTCGGAAATGTGCGCAACCACAAATTAAAGGCAATTGATTTACATAATTTCCAAGGATTTCTAGATCATACGTTCAAAGAGGCGTTTAAATTCAAACAGCTGCAAAGTCGACTAACAGTTCTCTTAAAATACAAAAACAAGCAAAAGATATTCGCCTGTGTTTTTTTTCCGGAGTGTAAACTCTTGAACTTTCTTTCCACAGTTTATTAGCATCATTTCGGGGAAGTAATGGTTAAGTATTACTGAGTGCCGAGTCTTTCAGCGTCATATGGAAAGCTGCATAAAGCAAACTGATTTTCAGACATATAGTTTATTTTTCCTTGGTTTTTGATTTGTACGATAGCACCTCTTCCTCGCGATAGGTTTTGGGCATGTTGATTGATTTCCGTGTAATGAGTATTGTACCAACATTTTTTAATCCTCGGCTCTCAACTATTAAAAGTGACCAACATTAAGTTTCTCCTACAAAAATTCTATGCACTGTTCAGCAGAAAGCAGAGAGGTGAATGGTCGATTTTATCAGCTTGAAGCCGATTCTCTTGTTTATTCACTGAATTGAATAACGTTTTTCTTAAGGAAATGTCCAGCAACTTGAATGGAGAATTTTAATGACATCATAAGAGTTGAACCGATGAGTCGAAACGTTTAAGTTATTTTCAACATTTTTTTAATATGTTAGAAAATTAAAACGTATCTCGACTACAAAATTTCGTTGAAAAGATGGCCAACGAGTTTTTTCTTTCCCTTACTTTGACTGAAGAACTGGATTACTTTATCTATCCGTTGTTACTGTACCTAAGAATGAGTTAGTTATTACACTTGTAAAGTCAAAATTTACGGGGTACGATGCTTTTGGAATATCAGCGGAATAGGTATCAGAAACTGGTTTAACTAACTTGTGACCTCGAAGACTAATTCATAGTTATTTTAACAAAGTTCTGACTTGATAATTGACTCAAAAGCTGGACAACTACGCCCAGGCCGACTCACCTACTTCGGCCTGAACGAAACATCGTTGATAATGCATGTAAAGTCTGACTATGAATACTGTTAACTTCTCCTACCTTATCTTTGTGAGATGCGAAGCGGAGCGTCTAAAATGAACACTGCGACTACCACTCAATGAAAGGTCTTTCTTCATTTTAAATGTGACAACCTCTCTAATGTATCCTCAGGCGATTCCTGTTTAATCAAGGATATTAAGTTTTCTGGCTGCATTAAGGGAAAAGCCTTGTGTGTTTTATGAAAATTAAATAGTGGCAGATTAGCAGGAAATGAGGAATTATTCCAAGAACGGTTTTCTTGATACTGCTTAATGGAAAGTCATATTGTCGGCTAAAAGGCCGGTCAAATAAATAGGATAGAATTCTGCTTAAGAAAAAAAAAATGCTTAAAAAGGGCCGACTCGCACCTATAACAGAGTAAGAATAAAACAGAACAAAAGACAAAAAACAAACAAAACAAACAAAAGCTGAGCTATGAAAAGAATATATTTTCCTATTTTCGTTTTTTACAAGTGTTTAGTTTTAACTTCAAAAACATTTTCGATTACGAACTAAGACAAGATTTATTGAAAATGGTTTCAATCCTGGTTTGCTAAGAAAGCGTAAGAGGCAAGCAGATGTCTTCAAATAAAGGAGCATCTTATAAATTGAATTGACGGCTAATGTCTCTGCTGCATCGAATATTATCAAAAATTGTAAAAAGATTATTATAAAGTCAAATATTTCAAAAGGTGCAGATATGAATATGTCCTAATTAACAGTAAGATGGCTATTTGTGATATCTTAAAATCAGAATAGGTTTTGAAAATATACCTTTCATATTATTGAAAGCTCAAGTTAAATTTGCAATAGCGTGGAAGTTTTTACAAATTTTGGTAAATGAGTTATTCAGCCAAAACAAATTACTTTTTATTTCCACACCATTTTTGAAAAAAAAATTATATTTTGGTTTCCCCTTGACCTTGAAAACTTTATAAATGATCACGGCTGTATTCTTTGGAAGACTGATATTGGCTGCCCGTACGTGGATTTATATTTTCTCGGTTTGTTCAGTAAGTTATAACATTTAGAATAGTGTCGTAGTTTGTTAAGTTTGGAAGAGAAAACATTTTTTAACATACGTATACAATATTTTTCTCCATTCATTGAATCCTATTCAAATTATACTGATTTTTATGTTCATCTGCTTTTCATGTATTTTGAAAAAAAAAAACGTATACAAGCCCGGTGCTCAAAAAACTCAAGTCAAGCTGCTAATTAAAAAAAAAAGAGAATAAAAATAAGCCAAAACTCTTATCATCCTCGTTTCGATTATATCAGAAAAAAAAATGGTTACAACATGGCAAGTCTATCTCACCATTTTCAAGCCAAAACTTGAAATAAGAATTTCTTTCACTTCGAAGTGGATCACATACACCCGCCCTTACAGCTGGCTCCGGTTGTATAAATGGCGGATAATACTATCCACCGGATAAATCTCTTCCTTTACTAGATAGCGCTGTGCGTTTTGCTAAAAGTTATCCGCTGGATAGCGATTTATCCGTTAGATATCGTTATCGCCTTTTGAACAACTAGGCACTAGAGTATTGAAATAAGAAGAAGTAAGAACTTCTAAAAACCCTGAAACATTTGAGAGGTTTGCTTTTATCACGCGTTTTCCGAGAGAAAAATTTCAAATTTACCCAATTTGCACGGAATCGAACTTTTCACGCATGGGATATTCGAATGTAACATGTAAAGACAATAAACAAGCATTTTTTTTCTGCATCAGCAAATCATCATTTATTTCTTGCAAGTAGCTAAATCTGCTACGTTTCTTTAATTGTTCTTCTTCAGCCTGCAGACAGATCAACAGACACACGTCATTAGAATTATTATGACGAGAAAAAACCTCAGTCATGGGCGGAAATGAATGGAACTTTTTATAGCTTGCCAACTGTTTACTCCTTGTTTGACAAGGACCATTAGATTAAACTTATTAAGCAGATCGGCTGGGAAAGGTGCAAAAGATTTCAAGAAGCTTCGCTCGCACACACAAATGAAATAAACTATAAAAACGTTTGCAACAACAATGAAAACAAACAAATAATGAAACGAAATAATTTGTTTGTTTGTTGTTTGTTTGTTTTCTTCCAAGAAAAATTAATGAAACATTGGGAACAGAATTCCAGTAGCTTAAATCTAATGTATTACTTTCAATTCTGACCCTTTTACCTCTAAAAGTGACTGACATTTAATTTTTCCTTAAATATCACTTCCTAATCACACATTAAGGTCACGAGAGTAAAGGAAGTGATCACCATCTAGAGAAACTCTTACTTGTTAATCAAATTCTCCTTGTCAACAAAATAGGAAATGTATAGAGAACAATAGGGAGAGAATACAAATTGTTTTTGGGGAGGAAAGGGCTAAAGGGGAAAAAAAACAGAATCAAGTGGAAGCTCGGTTGATATTCCGCCCAAACTAAACCCCAACTTTTAGTAAGCCCATTCATATTTAAGACACGGATTGGCCCGTTGCTTTACGCTACTGCCGCCAAACGCGCGCTTAAGTTTGCGTCACATGGAACTATGAGCAGCTCATGTTTTCTTGGCAATGGTCCATAAAACGCCTCAGTTCACGAGGATTTTAGACTCACCCGTCTATTGCATTTGGAGATTTTTGGATAACCTGATTGAGGATTGTTTTCTCTAGAAAAAAAGGAAAGAAAAAATAATGTTATTCTGAAAACCGTCGTTCTTTGCTTAGTTTATACCATCGACAAAAACCATAGAGATAGGGAAAAATTCTTGTCCCTAGTATTGACTGGTCATCTTTCCTTTTGAATTTGAGTTGTTTTCTAGCTTTTGATTGATATTTTATATCTTACCATCAGAGGTAGAAAATCTGCTAAAAAAATAACTGACAAACTACGAATTGAATCAATTCAATCAAAGCTGTTCACTTCTTACGTACCGGCGACTTCATCTGGAGTTTTTTCAGCCATAGATGGTGCTGAGTTCACAGGAGAAGATGCTGCAGGTGGCGGAGGAGCAGGGGCAGAGGAAGCTGATCTTCTTCTAGATCCAGTCCCTTTTCCCATGGAATTTACAGAATGACAGAAAGTTAAAAATTGACAGAATGCTCGGAATTTGCTGATAAATGGAGTGCATAGATGATAAACCAGAATCACACACGCGTAAACCAATTGCGGCGTTTTCGACGACCGCGTTCGCGCTTGAGGCTGTCAACTCCCCATTTCACTCTCTTTCGTTTTAAACATTTTCTCAATGAAATTAATTTTAGATGTTTCTTTGCTTAAAACTGAGAAAAAAAGAGGAAGTACTATTGTTTAACAAATCTGAGCCCGTTTGGATCAAATGAATTTTTAGAAAAGAAAGAAAAATTAAAGCTTTATTGCTTCGATGTAGATTAAAGAATGTGGTGTTCAGATCTCCTGCCTACTGACAACTTAGCACTGAAAGCAATTGTAGTTTTGAAATAAAATTGTAAAGATCTTACTTCTGAAGAGCCATGCCTCTCCAGCTGTGAAAAGAGAGCATGAAAAAAATATTACGGCCAGGAAAAGAAACTGCATACATTATGATAATGATAGAATTAATAATAACCATGCTTATAAAATAGTTGTAGTGATAATGATGATGATTACAATAATTATTATGTTACTAAGATGATACCAGCAGTTACTTTCTGAATTCAATTTCAACGTCATTCATCTTGAGATGAGAGGAATGCGAAACAATATAATAAAACGTTATTGCGAAAGGCTAGCTGAAACATACTAAAAGGTGGAGTCTTATCATGATTTGTCTTCTGCCTGACTCTGAATTTAATCTGAAATCTATTCTAGTTCGCTTTCCCCTAAATAAGATCCAGGCCCATCATAAATATGATTACTTACACATTTCTATCAAAACTCTTGATTATCGTATTAGGGAAGGGAGATGGGTTTAAAATTCGGACGTCTCTAGCCTGGGTGTAGATAGCAAACCTCTTTAGGTCTTCGTTTATTGGTAGATGTTTTTGTACTTTGTCATAAACATAAGGCCTATAAGACCCTATGGCGTTTGAAGATCTAATCGACGAAGATAAGTAACTTTAAACACTTTTAGACCAAAATTTCTAAAACTCAGAGTCATAGATTTTACTTACAAACCTGGAAAGGCAGCCATGATTAGCAAAGCCAGAGTAGTTAGGATTCTTAGTTGCATGATATGCACTTAGCAATGTTCTACACAATGAGATAACATAAGATTGAGAAACACATCACAAAATTGTTTGTCATGATCGATCACGTTTGGAATTTTTTGCATCTAGGGGGACTGAAAAAAGGTGATATTTGTATGTTAGAGGAGTAAAAAACAGTTAGATATTCAAGTCTTCATAAACGGTTAGACTTTCTGATTTTGCGCGCTCTGTCAACCGAGCTATTGAAGACTTTTTTGTGAAATGGGCCAGTTGTTAGATTCATTTTTCTCAAATATCCCGCGCACAATTACAAGGATCAGCAACGAAGAAGTTTTTGAACGAAGAAGAGTCAGAGGAAGCCAAGGGAAAAATAATTCTATAACATCAATTGATTCTTTTCATAAAAAAAATTGTTGAAATCCCAGATCAGAAATTTAATTTCTGTATTAGTTAATTTTTAAGTACAAACATGCTAGTACAATGATGTAATATGGGCTGTTGTCTCCTCCCTCACTTACGAAGAAGAAAGCCTCGATATACAGTACCCTATGACTGGATTACAAGACATAAGCTTTCTTTGCGCATTTTACATTGAAAGCAGCTTTTCCCCAATAATTTTACTTTCAATTTAATTCGAGTTAAAAATACATATGAATTGAAAAACCTCAACCAAGGAAAACATTTTACAGACCTGAATTTGTGCAGTGAGAGAACTCACCTTTTTGAATTTCAACCTTCAGTTTTCCAGTTCCGTGTGATGACTGAGCGGGTGGTGCAACGGGGATAGAGTAACGGAGAAATCTTAGATTGTATAAACCAAGCTTTTCAAAAATTCCAGTGACCACACGCATAGCGAATTATAAATGAACATTGCAGTGTCCAGTACAAACTCTCATTTCGGAGACTCGCACTGAGTCCAAAGTCTTGAATTTGAATGAAAAACTTGTACAATAGAGGTATTGCATCCCCTGCATCAAGATTGAGGCTGGAAAATTGGAATTTAACACTTATTCAATTAAACCAAAACCAACACCTTATGCGTTTTGGGTCCTTTGACATTTCGCTGTAGGAATGATGACAAGTTTGATCAACGCATAGCAGACCAAACTATGTCACACAGTTTGATTAATTAGCGCTGACAAAGTGATCGCGAAACCTGCAAAGCTAGCCATAAAAGATAAGTCTTTTTTTCAATTTTTTTTTAAATTTGGCAAATCTATTATACCAGATATTTGTGGGACTAGGCTAGATAAACATTTCTTCTTTGAATGGTTCGCCATTGTCAGTCGTGTTTTAGGGGGTAGATATTTTGGACGTTGGATCGATTTGCTTTTTCACGTTCGAAATTACCTCGCTCCACTCGGAAATAAACATAGTCTTTGAATAGACTAACAGAACTCGCTAGGAATATCAATCATCGATTTAGTAGTTAAGGCGCCAGGTGATTAGCGTAGTGCATTTTAGCCAATGATAAAATCGGAATCGAGCTAGGACAAGAAGAAAAGTGTTTGATTATCCAAGCATCCCAAGACGGTGAACAACAAACCATCCAAAGCTTCCGTTGCAATGTCTTCAATTCTATTTCGAGGAGGTTTAATTCCTGCCTTCATAAATACTCCTTTCCAAGGCTGGTCATATATCATTTCAACTCTAATAGATGAACATAGATATCATACTCAAGCCTGATTCCTTTCTCTCTTTATTCAGTTATCTTTTCCAAGAGTCCCCTATCACTAGGTTTTTTCCCCTGTTCTAACAGGCATAACATCAATACTGGAAGCATTTTGCAGCTGCTAATTCCGGACTGGGACACATCTTTTGAGTTCACAGTGGCAACCTCCTCCCATTGGCTGGACTCCATACGTTTCCAGCTTTTGCCCTAGAGGGCAACGCATTAACGGGCAGAGAGGTTTGCACGCAATTCCACCGCCTGTATTACATTTGCATTTTTCACAAGATTCAGTTGTGAACCATTCGTTGAGGGGGTGGTCGTTGCAGTCCGGGAATTGTGCGGCTGTGTACCCATAAAAAAGGAAGTGCATCTTGTGTCAGTGTGATAATTGTTAATTTGTCGTGAAGGTAGCGAAGATCAGATAAACTTTTCGATACATGTATTTGGATTTTCAATTCAGAGAAAAATTAAAGATCTAGTGATTAACATGGTAATTTTGTTTTTTTTTCTTAATATTACCAATGAGTTTAGATAAATTTTTCCGATCAAAACAGCTGACCCTCTGAACAGCGTATTGCAATCTTTGAGGTCAGTTAGGAGTCCATATTCTCTCGAGAAATCTCATATCTTCGTTTAAATCTTATTTAGAAGCATCTACTCCCAATTATAAACTTCTTTCATCTTTTCTTTTCAACTAAGAATTTTATTTTCTTGGCTGAAATAACACCTTGCTCTCTTAAACTTCTTAGGCCGGATCGCTAAAATAAAATTCAGTTTTGAAAAGGCTCTGACATAGCTTTCCCTTTGTGCGTATCATAATTAGCAATTTTCATCCAGCTTCCCTTTTGAGAAGAATCTATTACTTTCGAATATACCAACCTGCTGAAATGATCATGGCCACCAAAATAAAAACAGTCTTGGGGACTTCCATCTTGGTTTCTGCCGCTGAATAGAAATGAAACAAAAGAAAAACATGTCCAATGAGATACAATTTATCTTCACATTGCCTCAACTCTGCTCGGTATGGTGACTCACCTTCAAATTCTATCTAACAACAGTTTAAGCCCTTTGAGTGATGAAAGCCTAAAGATTTAAAAAGTCCAAAGAAATATAAAAAAAGGTTATAATTATAAAGTCTCGTTAACAATAAAAACGAAACATAACGCATAACACATCGAAGCTTTAAACAGATGGGTAAATGAGTAATAAGGGTTTCGCATACTTACCTCCCACAAAATATTACAACTTTACTTTTTTGATTTCTGATGTTTGCTGAGGCAAAAGACAAAATGGGAATAGAGCTTATTGATATCCTGTACCTTATTTCGTAAGCAATACAATTTTATCCAACTGTTATCATTGTATCCAAATTTGCAAGTTTAGATTGGATGACCCCACGTAAAGGAGGCACTTAGCGACACATGATTCTCGCAATGAAATTTGTTTAGCCATGTATAGTAAGTAATTGTTACAATTCAAGTTGTTACCATTTAGTGTACAAAATTTCTATCACGAACCCATCGAAATTTTAATACCAAGGATAAAAAAATATAAAATTGGCAGAGATAATTGCCTATCGAAAAATACTGAACGAATTCTCATCATGCATGCAGTAATGTCCGAGGTTCAGGATGATCAAGACTCCAATTTGATTATTGATGTCAATATTGAATCAAGGCAAGATTTCATAAAATTTTAAATGGATTATAGATCGATCTCTTGATGACAGTATGAAAATTTCAATTGTCCTCTCAAAAGTTTCAAGAAATGGATAGTAAAAAATATTATACCATCTATAGAATCTACCATGTAAAGCAGCCGGCCTTCGGTTAAAAAACACACCGCAAACAGAGGAAAAATCTTTTGAATTCTGTAAAAAAATGATGCAAATAAGTTTTGTCTTATTTGACTTCGGTTGCCTTTCTCTATCCCGGGGAAACCTGAAGTTTTCATTTGAACTTGTAAACCCAAGAGGTTGATTTATTTAATTTAAAATGTATTTCTTGTTATGTTTTCGGAATTACTGAAGAATTCCGAGCCTTAGGAATCTTCGAATTCAAGCTGGGATTCAAGAATTACTTGAACAAAATTGGCGGGATCCCACTCAGGTCGTCAAAAGGGTATAATTATTTCGAAAGCCAAGTGTAAATAGATAGATAGATAGATAGATAGATAGATAGATAGATAGATAGATAGATAGATAGATAGATAGATAGATAGATAGATAGATAGATAGATAGATTCTTTATTGAAATACATCGCAGCTCGTAGAGCTGAATTACGTATTTTCATTAAAATTCTAATTGAATGTACAAACTTACAAATTGAATAATACCTAAGAGCTAATGATAGTAATATCTAAAACATTAAAAAACTATAAACATCTCGTTGAAATCATATTGTTAAAAGTCAGTAATTTAAACAGTATTCACTAGGGCGCATGAAGCCTTAATAAAACTATTCTTAAATCTATTTGTTTTACAGCGCGGTATGCTGAAGGATCGTGCGTGCCCAAGATTGTACTTGCTCTCATGTAGGAGCGGCAGTAATTTCCTGAGTTTATGGCCGCTGTCATTGAAAATACTTTCAAACGTACGCTTGCAAATATCACTGTAATGCTCCGCTACGGACGGTAGGTTCGTTACAACTAACGCGTGCTGATATTCCATGCCAGGTCAGATGATTCGCATAGCCCTTTCCTGAACGCGCCCTAGTTCTTGCAATAACTAGGCAGGCAGAGCGTAATGAAACACAGGTACAGCATAATCGATAACGGAGCGCACACATGTGATGTAAAAAAGACAAATATCTTTCTGAGAAACGCGAGCTCTTTTAAGCTGAATGAGAAAATAGAGCCTCTTAGCTGCCCTTTTTATCACTTCTGTGATACGCGCGTTCCAAGATAGGTCACTTGAAATAGTTACGCCTAAGAGTTTAGCATCGATAACAACCTTTATGCATCTTCCCCGATGACAGGAGGGAAATCATGACTTACTGAAGCAAAAGAAATGCGAAGTTTCTTACATTTGTCAACATTTAGTTTGACTCTATTTCTGTTGGACCAGTCCGTTACCTCATCTGCTATAGTTTGCGCGTTGCTCACCTGTCCTTTCCTAATTTCTTCAGATGTCGTTGTGTCGTCTACGTATTTCCAAAGTGATGCATTACTAATTGCTAGGTCATTAATCATGATTAAAAACAATCATGGACCAAGTTTGGTCCCTTGAGGCACGCCTGAAGGAACTGCGCCCCATTCTGATACAGCTTTCAGAGAGTTTGATTTTCTGCGAGCGGCCTGAAAGGAAATCTATGATCCAATTAGTAACGCTAGGTGGAATTTTCTCACTAAAATGCTATAATCTATTAAGTCAAAAGCTTTCTTGTAATCAAATAAGAGGGTTCTTATAGTTGATCCGTTTCCATTAGTCCCTCAGTGTAGGAGTATAAATAAAGAAATAATAACTAGAAATTCACTTTGAAAGCGGGTACAGGTGATTAGAAAAGGGCGGCCGGGGTTACGTAAAAATTCACATTAGAATTCCAAAATACTTTTGTTTTATAACCGGTGCGGGGGTTTTTTGTCGGGGGAAAATTTGGCCATTCTCTGGGCAGTAATTAAACTGATATGTTACTACATAGGTGTTAATGCCTCACAAGGGGTTACTCGTAGAAGTTGAAAACAGTCTAAGGACAACGTTATCAGATTGCTTCTGAATTTTTTGAAGCAGCAAAAAGTTTATTTAACAAAGGGTTATTTGGGGTCAATGTTTATATTTATCAACGTATTCTATGGGATTCCTTGACGATTATTCGTAATCTTCTTTAGGGGTTTACTTAAGAGTGCTAGGTTTGCATTCTTTATCTTACCCTTTCCATATCAACTTATGGTCACGTACTGTTGTGAGAGATACAGATAATTGTAACAATACTAAAATAAAGCGTTTGCTGGGCGTTTCTTTGATAAGACCAGATACTAACTCCACTGTTATATTGCAACCTGGAAATTAGGTAGTGTTCTGTCGCATTTTGTAATAAGTACGACGATTAACACAAAGTGAGATATAATAGCAAGTATTAATTTAGTCTTTTGGACGAACATTAGTTCGGGGAACAATTAGTCTTGCTTCAATTTAAACAGTGAGAACGGTAGAAATAGCCTGTATTAGTTTAGTTGGTCCTGTACGATATTTTCAAGTGGCCTACCTACGTATGAAAAGACTTTGGTTTATTTTAGGCTTTGAGAAACTTACACTTAATATCTGTTAGTCTCGACGTGTCGTATATTGATGAATTTCCTGACCTCATTAAAATTTGAATCCTTTCCTTACTTTTGGCACTTTTGCAAATGCCTTTGTTCCAGCGTTTTTGTCTCCAGGATGCATGTTTGTACATTTATACTACTCTAAACTCAACTTTCATACAAATTTAAGGAAAACTGTTGACTTATACATTGTCTGGTTGCTTTCTGACCAAGGCACCTTTTTTCTTTTTGTATGATCTTTTCAAAGAAAAGTGTATTTTTGAGTTACAAATAACCTTCTTTCAGTCGAGACAGTCCACCCAGCTGAAAACACCTTCCTATTCATAACAAATATGCTTAATGCAGCAAGGAAAATTATAATTGTCTGACTTCTTCACCTTAAATAAGAGTAAGTATTTGTTGTTAAAGAGTTGTAACACAGTCACAGGAGCGGGTCGCAAAGGGTCCATACGTGACGCGGCTTGATTAAACCCAAAACTACTCCGAGACGTGTGAATTTTACAGAAAGGCAAGGTATGGTGAGGTTTGAAGTTTTCCCCATTAAATTTATTACGCATAAGATTCTGTTTAAAATCCATGTGACGTGAGAGTAGTAAAGAGCGCAACGCTTTAAAGTCGTTGGTGTGCTGTTAGAGAGAAATAATTCCCAATTATGAAGACAACTGCGTCTGTTTGGTTACAGATATCTGGACGTGGAGGACACACCCTTCACCGGAGTTTCTTAACCCATAACTCTTATTTCCCAACCCTCTTTCATTTAAAAATGAATATGCGAATAGAATTGATCTAAAGATCACCCTTCGTGAGGAAGAATGGTCACGCGCGTATCAGGCTCAATGCAAACCATTTGATGTAAAAAATTGAACTTTAACGTGATTCTCGATTGTTTAAGCTTCCAGCGAAATGGTTTCACCATTAGCTACAAAAAATGATAGATTAATCTACAGCGTAAACAACCACGGAAAGGAATTAATTATTCAATAAATCATGAGGAATTTTTGTATGGAATAAGCTAGGCTACATGTTATTTACAAGAAGTATGTTAAGATTAGATTGTTATCTGACATGTTGACGTGCACGTCGACCCCTTTAATGTTTAGGTTGGTCTTTATCTCCAAAAACCACAATATGGATCGGTGTCCTGCTGGATATTTTTAACAAATGAGATTAACGTTAAGGCGATTAAAATGCTAAATGAGTAGATAAAATACAAACTAAAACAAAACTGAAAGACGATATGCTTAGGAGAGTGATATGCCGAATGCACACATTTAATTTTGCCTCGGAAATAATGTTTGACGCCAACTGGTAGAGCAGACCAGATAAGAGATGAACACCGTGCTTTGCTTATGAAAAAAAATTTTGTTAGTATTTATGATTAAATGTACATACCACAATCCAGATCATGACTAGTAGAGTCTTAAGTAAAGCAGCAATAACTTCAATTTTTATTTTTAATGGAATCGTTCAGAACAACCAGAAATTGCGATTGCAAATACGTGATATCATAGTTATATTCAGTTTATTTGCTGATTGGCCTGTATAAGACCAAAATGTTCTATCAGAGGTAAAGTAAACTAGCTAAAAATTTCAGGCGCTCAGGACGTGTATAGTTCACAGCTATCAAGTTTTTCGGTCACATTTATTTAAATCGTTGTTGCTGGAAACATTTTTTAAAGATTTTTACGTTGATGTATCGAATGTACAGAATTGTAGAGAGCGTTACTGTTTATTTTCTGCAATGTGGCGTCAAGAGTTATTCCACATTCTGCTATTAATTTAAATCTCGTATAACCGCATACTTGGCTGGTGGAATTAAAGACAGTTTTAGAACAAAATTTATATAAAAAGTGAATGTAATACTAAGATATCAACCATAGAAAAAGTTATGAAAAGGTGAATTGGTGTCTCCAGAGACATTTGAGACTGAAGCCAGAAAATATGGCTAAGTACCTTTCAGAAACATTTTGAAATATAATACAAAGCAGATGGTAACACAGTTGTTGGAGGTCAGTTATTCGAGGTCACCATTAATTTAAATAATTTAAAGGTGATGAGACCAAGATGCGTATGAAATAATCCAATTCGCCACGTGCTGTGGTTATTATTTGTGTTTCTGACCGCCGTCTAGAAAAGATAACTTGGTGGTCGAGAAGATTCTCCAAAAATTGCAGACGTTTCAGCCCTTATCGATCTGCGAGGCTCTTGCATCAAAAACTGACACTTTAAAAGGAAAGACGATGGATGCGTTACTGCGATTCTTCGAGTCCCTACGTTTCCTACAGACATAATTTTCTCGTTTATCAAAGCCATTTAAGCTGTCAAATCCTGAGTTTCCCCATTAAGCCATCGACTTAAAATAAAAAATCTGCTAAACGGTTACACCCATAGCTATTTAAGAATTTAAAGGGCGAAACAGGAAATTCCTTTTCATGTTACTGAGCACAAAAAAACGAATGCCTAGCCTTCAGTCGGTAGTTTTCCTGCGAATTCACCCCATCGTAATAACGGATTCCTTTGCGGGAATCGCCCGGCGTTTGTTGATTCAACCAAATTAAGGTAAACAGCGGTCTATTTTGGTTTTAAATAGATTTTGTCATGTACCTAGTGTTAATTTTGTTTATAGATAAACTTTCTCTAGTGTAAGCTTATCTCTGTCGAAATCTTTCAAGACTGTTGGAAGACTTTGGGAGAGTCGCTGCCTTCACCCAAAGGCGAAATTTGAAATAATCAGAATGTTGAAAACAAAGTAAGGACGATGAGTAAAATATCTCGCCATGCAGCTCAAATTTATTTTCTTCTTTCACAGAAGACCAATCAATGCATTTATACGGGTTGTGTCGAAAATCTCATGTGCAAAACTACTTTACTTTACGTTATAAATGATAAGACGCCTGCATCAAATTCCATTGCGGAGGCGTCAATTTGAACAGCGCATCTGTTGTGTTACAGGGGCATAAAAGTTCAGGCAGAATCTCGCAGTTTTCGACACTCAGCACACCTCAGTCGAAGGATGATGGCTGCCGCATTTTTTCTTGGTCTGATGCTCGCTTTGTTACAATCGATCGTATGTGCCTTTGTACCTCCTTCTTTTCTTCATAACAATGGCCAAGGTACGTTTATCATTTTGATAGTGCATTTCCGTCAAACGCAGGTTTTGAAAAATCTCAAGTCCCTGCTATGCGCAAATGCTTATTCGTGTTCGTTTGACGGTCTTTTTCCATTCATGTCCTCTTGCCGCTCTGAATAACAGCTGGTAAGTAATTAGTGTCGATAAAGCTCAAGAACCTCTTCCAATGTAGCAATTTTTCCCCATTTTGTACAGCGTTAAGTTCCACTCTCTTTTGAACATCATAATTTCACTCGTCAATCTAATAACAACTGCGTAGGTATGTTTTACTCTGTTGTTAAATCCCAAAGGCTAGTACGGATTAGTTTGAAATCGCGAAAAAAGTTTTTCATGTGTATCTCCCAGCAATAAATTGAATCATTTCTTAAATAACCTGTTAGGGAAGGAAATTTCAGTCAAAACTACCTTAAAAGATGAGTTAACACTCTTGTCGAAATTGTTATGCAGTAAACAGACAGAGAGTGAATCAAGGAACTTTCTAAAGGCATTCGAGATTGAAACAGATTTCATGACGTAGGAGGTCGGTAATTGACTCAGAAGTTGGCTTTCCTTCTTTAGTTGCATACAAGTGGTTCAATTATTATTAAATGATCTTCACTTTTGGCAAAAGACGGCTTAAATTCACAAAAATTACATATAGACACGATCCCTCGCCATCACGCATAAAACTGTGATAATGATAGTCTGACTTGATGACATAATAGATGACACAGCCTCTTTAAAAAATGTACATGATAACAAAGGTGTGGTTGGGAAAATATGCCACTTGGGTGTGTTGTCATAATTCAAAATCTCTGGTAAGACTTTTATCAGTCTCGTCTTTGGTGTCGTTTAATCCTTAAGGACCGTATTTATATCCGTTTATCCGATTTTAATTTCGTGTCAAATTCCCCCGAGAAGCGTGACTCTTTTAGTGGTAATGTCATTCATTGAAATGACAAAACTGACCTCTGATTCCCTTACCCTTCCCATGGTTCAGCTGAGTACAAAATTTAACACACACAAAAAAAGACTCATTTTCTGTAATTAAGGACAATTTCTTTCAGCATTCTGCACAAACGACTGAAAGTAGACGTCAACTCATGCTTTGTCGTCTCCCGTTCTTCATAGAGGTGATGCTTGACCCGGACTCTAGTGTCATGAAGCAATTTGACATAGGACAGTGTAGGAGTACATCTAGTAAACTTACGAACTGATTGACTTGTATAAATATACATATGAATACGCCTGCCGGAAACCGGGAAATGTCCGAGTTTTTGTGGCAGTAGACATTTGAAGAATCGCTACTCATTCTCAATGGGATGATATGGGATTATTCGATAGCAGTCCAGCACAGGTTATTCATCAGAATTTAGTCAAGTCTTCCTGTAAGTTTGCTGGAGTAAATTTACTTTATACTCCCGCATGCAGAGAAGCAGTGTTCTTTGCCTGAGAACACAAAATCGCACCGCCTTAAAACCTCCAACCCAACCTTTCATTCGGCGTGCCGCCTGGTAATTAAGAAAACCACCTTGCCTTCCAATCAAAACAGTTAACTGATTTCTAGGACAGCTTTTTGAGAATCAAAATTTATACTTTGTGTAACGTTCATGACATCTCTCTTGATAGAAAAGCCGTGCTTCCACGGAGACTCCATATACGACCCGTGGGAACGCTTTGCTGATGAATCCTGTACTGGATGGTGCCGCTGTAACGGCCGAACTGGAAATGTGGGATGTGTTTCCTTGTGTCCCCCCCGTGGCCCTCCCACGTGTTCTTTAGGGGAACTCCCTGAAGAGACAGAGGAGCCATCTGTGGATCCAACGGGAAGGTGCAAGTGCAAACGGAAGTCTTGCTCTCCGAGACTTAACCTCCCTCCTCCCCCGCCTCCAGTAAAAATACCTGAAGAACATGGTGAGCTCCTTGGTACCGCGGAACAATAATATTGACCTTGATGTTCTTCGTTTTCTTCTTTCGTTCCCCTCTAGGCAATGACCCATAGAGGAGTCTGCAAGAAAATAATAGCGTTTCATCTTCATTTCCATTTAAAATCCTGAAGAGGAAAGTGATAAAACTAATTTGAGAAGAAGCTAGAACATTAATTGAAATTCGCGTGAATTTGTCCAAAAATTGACAAAAAGGGTCAGACAGAGAAACATCACTTTTATTACCCAACTTCACTGAGAAGAGAACAAATATCGCGTGAAAAGAATATAAATATCGTACGATTTTGTACAGTTGGTTATTTTGTACAGTTGGTTATTTTGTACAGTTGGTTATTTTGTACAGTTGGTTATTTTGTACAGTTGGTTATTTTGTACAGTTGGTTATTTTGTACAGTTGGTTATTTTGTACAGTTGGTTATTTTGTACAGTTGGTTATTTTGTACTGTAAAAAAAACATCTTTGAGCAGTCGGTTGCATGTGTTACGCTTCTCTTTTCACTTCACTTTTTCCGCCTTATAAGAATTACATATAAAATAAAGCAGTTTGATGATAGATAGGTTATTAGGTTTATGGTGTGTAGTATTTCCACGTATATTTACTCGTTGTTTGTACAACTCAGAAATACTCAGCGATACTACACACCAAAATGTCTAATAAGTTATGTGTATTGCATATTATGATGGTTGAGCGGGTGAGCCAAAGATACAAAAACCCAAAGAGGCGAAGATAATCAAACAGGGAGCAGGGATGGCTGAAGACGGAAAGTTTTAGCAAATTGACAAAAGTAGCAAAATAACAAAAGTAGGCGCGTTTTTTTACATATAGTGACGCGTCTAACTTGAAGCTAATGAATGATGTGTCTCTTCAGTTCTTCCAGAGTGTAAAAACCGTACCCCAAGAGAATGGTTCATCAACGATTCTTGTACAGGAAGATGTAAGTGCCAATATGGCGGCATTACTTGTGTTTCACTTTGCTCGCCAATGGTAGTTAAATGCCCGTCGGATATGGAGGAGGAGTCTTACGATTATCCAATGGATGACAGAGGAAAATGCAGCTGTAAGCGCAAGAGATGCGTGCCAAAAGTTGGAGCATGGTAAGGGGCATAAAAAGACGGTCTCGATAAGGTGGTGACTTTAACGGCTAACGGTTAAAATGTTGGACATTTACGGCTGACTGTTAGTTTCTTTCTGTTATGGTAAAAGAGAAATTTTTTTCGATTAACTTTCTTTACGACTAATGGTGAACATTTATCGCTGGCCTCTCAGAATCCTTACTTCATTATAGCCTACCCACTGGCCAGTTAAAGACTCAATCTTAGTCACTTTTGGGCGGATGTTTCGGCAGGACCCGGGTGTTCTGAATTATTGCGCAACTGGTTAATATTGAAGTGGTGATTGCTAGAATAGAATTTAATGCAAGCCGATTGATATGTATATTAAAACAACAGAACAAAGTACAGCTACAACTGCGAATCTTTCAATTTTTAAATCACTTCTTAATTACCAGAATTTTCCTAAACCCCAAATCCTGAAAATGTGCCATCCCATTCTTATAATTCTGTTGAAAATGCGAACGATAATTAATCCAGTCGCAAAAATGTGACACCAGGCCCCATCTAATAACACATCCCCATCCCCCTCCCCTCCCCCCCCTCAGGATTTTAGCTGGACAGTTTTTCGAGAAGCTAATCTGGCCATTTTTCGATTACACAGTTTTGGCATCATTGGGCTAGAAATGGCGACTTATAAGCTATTAAAAGTTAAGTTAATTTTTTTTCTGTGGTTTCTTACAGATTTCATGCTGACAGCCTGACTGGACCCATCAGATCTTTTGATTACGATTAATATCATAATTAGTTTTTATGACCCTTATCAGACATGGCAATTGTCGTTGAGTTTCTTTTGGGATTATGTGAACCTGGCCTCAGGTCAAAGGTGTTATTTACTATTATTAAACATCAGACGAGAGCATTCAGTCAATTGTAACAGCGTATGAAGTTGACAAGAAAACCCGGGCAATATCAGCAGCAGATATTGGGTTATCGTCTTGAGTTCAAAGTCTACCTAGTTAGCAACCCCCCTTCATCAGTTTAGTGTTCTCAAACTTTTGCAAACTCAGAGAGAATTAGTAAGTTTGTTTCTTTACCGATTGTTTAAAATATGTATTATAAAACAATTATTGAATTCGGTTTTCACTGAGCAATTATTAGATGAGGTTGAACATTATATCATGAATTATCAAACCTCGTATCTGTGTTATATGTCTCAGCCTTCGGCTTCGACAGCTTAGACATCGGCATCGATATTTCATGATGTAATGTTCAACCTAATCCTTAGAGTCATCCGTCTTTAAGGTTGCAAGAGGCTAATAAGTTTGCCAGAAACCAGATTCCAACGCACGGGAAACAAAAATTTATAGTCCCGAGTTCAGTAGGGTGCCAGGAACAAGGTACACTTGAAAACAGAAGCATCCTTCATGCATGAAGTCTCCTTTCTAGCTGGCAGAGCAAGCGTCAGTTTTGGCGGACGAGTGCTCAGTTATCTTAGTGAAAATTAAAACTGCCATCTTCGATTTTTACAACAGCGGAAGGCTGGGGAGAGAAAAAAATTGTACCAAGGGGGTGAGCGATGGTCAAAAAGAGGGAGACCATCTCGACCTCAGAATCTCAACTTTCTATGCCTCTATGTTTAATTCTCCATACTAAATTCTTCATACTCCTCTCAATGCAATTCCTACAATACTGGCAAGGAGAATTTGTTTAACAGTCAACTACTTATTTACTAGATTATAAGATACTATAATCTCATGGCCTTACTGTGGTATTTAAGGTTTCTGGAGGTGGTTTTAGGTGGTTTTAGGTAGTTTTTGGTGGTTTTAGGTGATTGCAGGTGGTTGTAGATGGTTTTTGGTGGTTGTAGGTCATTCCATGTCTAAGTGTTTCAGAAGGAGAAATTAGATGTCAGCCAATTTCAGGGCCCTCACAACTGCTAGAGGATAAAGATCGTTTAGCTTTGGCATCATTTGAGCTGTGATATCTATAAATTTCTGGTTGAACATAGTCTTGTTTTAATTAATACCTAAACTAGGTATAGTACAAGGTCGGTACTCATTCGATGTGCTCCTTATTCTAATTTTCTCTCAAGTCTGAGAGCAATACGAACGTAAGTTGACACGACTGGTCTGGGTCCTAGTCTTCTTGAAGGAGTGGACCTTAGACTTTCAACACGTCTCTTCTTCCGTTTGAAAATGAAGATGAAGTTCATATCTGGCATGTCATATCGTCCAAGATCTAAAAAAGCAAAGTGAATAATTAGTAAAAAAAAAAATAGAGCACACGTTCCAGGATTCCATGTCTAAAGTCAGTTGAGAGTGCCTGAACGTCTGAGATAATTTGAAACTAACTAAATTTTTCAAAGGCTAACCAAATTGCGCGAACCCCTGAATGAATGGTCAAATTGTGTCAATTTATCCCTAATTGCACGATTATGTGATCACCAGTTAATAAGATACAAGCAAAAAAATGACTCTGTTTTCATTTTTAAGTTGTTTTTATTTAGTGTTACGACTCACTGGTTCGGCCGCTTGCCTTTGCCTTGATGCCGGAGTCAGTCGGGCTTTTTCCTCAAGAACTTGCTTCAAGCTTTTAAACTCTTTATCTCTATATTTTCTAGAGGCACAAGAGCCAGACATCAAACTTCATTTCGCATTATCTTATTACGGTGGCGTGTAATAACTTGAAAAAAAAACCCGAGTCTAGCACACTTTTCATTTGTTTCCGAAATCTCATCAGTCTCTGCACCGAATTTCGAAGTTTCGTTTATAGCGAATTGTATTTTGGTCTCGAAGTCTTGCAATTCTTTGAAGTAAGCTTGAGTATCTTTGAGTTGTCAATGTATAAGTCGAAGACTATTTAAGGTCCTCCTCAGGTCTTCTCACTTGGGAACCATCGGCAGAAATATTGGACAAGATGGCGGCCGCGCTTGCGCATTTCGTCCATAATGGCGTCCAAATAATATAAGAAACTGTATGGAAATTTGTAAAATTTCTAAAATATAACAATCAGGAACTCATGGTCCCGTCTGCTCTCGGTCGAGACATATTCAGTACTGATTCTGCTATTCATCAAACCTCACAGGGACTCGATAAATAAAAACCACTTACTTCCCGAGCCAGTTCTTTTGTCATTGATCATTGACCTAGGTCGCCATACAGTTCTTCAAAATCCGTCGTTCTTCATCCAAAACACTCGCCTATTACAGGAAAGTGCATCAATAAAGTCAACTGCTCTCGATCGAATTGACTGCTACAGAGTTCGAAGCGTCCAAATATCCTGTAAAATTGCCATTTCTTCCCATCAAAAAACTTCCCAACGCGCCAGAATATCCCTTATTTTCTATGTTGAGTAAGTGACGAGACGCCATGTTGAAAACTATGACTGAAATAGTTAAATACAAGTAACGCTGATCTTCGAATCGTCGGCCATATTTGTTTATGTTCTTGGAGGGAAATAAATTAGTTCTCAGGTCCTTTTCGGAATAAAAATATGCCAGGCATTGAATGCAAATTCAGTAGTCTTAGCGCGAAAATTAAATTAAAGCAAATCAAAATTCTGACATCATGTCATCGCTCTGCCTCAAAAAATCCCAAAGATTTATTTGCAGGTCTTCTTTTCTTTTTCCTTTCATTAAATAGAAGATCTGCGGTGCTCAAATTGTATAAGTCATGGTGCGGAATACTCTTCTTTGCAGATCGAGCCGTGATCGCCGCCATATTGAATTCTCTTGAATTCTATTGTTCCGGAGTGTAATACGATATAAAGGGGTAAGTTTCTAAAGAAACTGTGGTGCTGCGTCGGTAAGAGAGTATAGCAGGTAATTTAGAGTTAACAACTGGATTGAAAACGTAAATTAGCCACCGTAAAGGGTAAAAAAGCTGACGTTTCGAGCGTTAGCCCTTCGTCAGAGCGGTTAGAGGAATTGTGGGTTGTATGTGGGTTTATATGCAGAAAGTGGAGCTACGCCATTGGTGGGAATATGGTGACGAGAAAAAGGAATAAATTAGTTGAATGAAAAGCAGTCGTTGATTCCGTGGGGATTAAGGGTGCCGATTTGGAATATAAATTTTTGTTCCAGTGTTTTACGGCTTTCCAAACTGCCTAGATGTAAGGAAAGGCCGCAAACTGCCATATGCTGTTTAGAATGATTATGAAGATTAAAGTGTCTAGCGACTGGTTTGGATGCGTCCTTGTCATTTCTTTCCACATCGCGAAGGTGTTCTCGCAATCGGTCACCCAGTCGTCTTCCTGTTTCGCCGATGTATAACTTATTGCAATAAGTGCAAGTTATGCAGTAAATAACATTGGCGGAGGTACACGTAAAGTGATCAATGATCTTAATGGATCTTTTGGGTCCCGATATTTTCTCTATGTTATGAATGAAAGGACAAGTTTTGCATCGTGAGCGAGCGCATTTAAAAGTTCCAGATTGGTCATTGGTTGGAAATGAACTCCTGACTAAAAAGTTGCCTATGTTTTTGTCACGTTTGAATGAAATAAGTGGGGGTTGCGAAAAGATGGTGCCGGTCTCTGAATCGTCTTGGAGTAATTTGAAATTTTTAAGAATGATAGATTTAACTGCGTGGTTGTGAGGGTGAAATGTAAGAGTAAATGGAATGCGGTCAATGTTTTCCTTCTCGGCCGTTTGTAGTGCTGCCTGTCGATCGATTTGTTGGGCACGGTGGTAGCTCGCTTGAACGACAGAAACAGGATAGCCACGTTTATCGAAAAACTGACACATTGCCTCTAATTTTTCGGAAAAATAAGAGTCGTCACTACATAAACGACGTAGTCTGAGAAACTGTGAAAAAGGTATGGAGTTCTTGACGTGTGATGGATGTGAAGATGAATAGAACAAGTAACTAGGAACTGATTTTTCTGAATCGGAAAGTAGTAAATTTTCTGGAATGGTAAGTACAGTTTTGAGGTTTTCAGGCGATGAGTCGTTAGTAACTTGAGGGCCGATAAGTAGGTCAAGTTTTTGGGCCTTAATTGGTGCAAATGTTTAAAAAGTTTAGAATTGGCATCCTGAATTTTGGCACGAATGGATTGTACTAAAACAGCTGGACAGATTTTGGAAAGTTCAGAGCGGAAATGTAGAATTTGTTCGCTGAGTTTGTTACGTTTTTGGCACATAGCTCTGATTGTGATTCTCATAATATTACGTGAAAAAGAATTTTGGGCGCACTGAATTTGGTGACGATATTGATTCGAATGAGAAAAAGAAGATATGTGAAAATTGGAGCGAAAACCCTTAGGAATAACTTTGGAATGAAGGCAACGGCCGATGAAATGGATGTGACTACAACACCTAGTTTTGGCGTAAATGAGAACGGCTAAACGGAATGCTAGATCTTTACTAATAGGGGGGAAAGGAAAAAGGTAACTTACGATTTCCGATGGCTAATTTACGTTTTCAACCCAGTTGTTAACTCTAAATTACCTGTAATACGATACACCGCTGATAATTGTTAGCGGGCTCGAGATGTCCTTGATTTCTGGCTATGATTACATGCTGAAAGGAATATCGATATATCATGAACACAGCAATAATATTATAATTAAGGTGCCTACGTCACGAAATTTGATTTTTTTACATTTTCTGGTTGATAGCTGTATTTCAAATAAACTTGAGAATATTTCATGCTGAAAGGAGTATCTATATATAAACACAGCAATAGTATTATATTTAAAGTGTCTATGTCACGAAATTTTGGTTTTTTACATTTTTTGGTTCATAGCTGTATTTCAAATAAACTCGGGAATATTTCATGCTGAAAGGAGTATCTATACACAAACACAGCAATAGTATTATATTAAAAGTGTCTATGTCACGAAATTTTGTTTTTTTACATTTACTGGTTGATAGCTGTGTTTCAAATAAACTTGGGAATATTTCATGCTGAAAGGAGTATCTATATACAAACACAGCAATAGTATTATGTTTAAAGTGCCTATGTCACGAAATTTTATTTTTTGCATTTTCTGGTTGATATTTGTATTTCAAATAAACTTGGGAATATTTCATGCTGAAAGGAGTATCTATATACAAACACAGCAGTAGTATTATATTTAAAGTGCCTATGTCACGAAATTTGCTTTTTTGCATTTTCTAGTTGATAGCTGCTAGCTGTATTTAAAATTGTACTGCTAGTCGCAACAATCGCCAAGGTTCTAAATATTTCACAGTTTATTCAGTCATCTTGTTTACAGGAAAGTATTCGAAATCTATTGACGGATTAGAATGACAGTTAACAAAGGCCAGGATTAATATACATCAGCACGGAATAGTATTTACATACCCATTGGTGTCACTCAAATCTGTGACGACTAGTAGTATTGGCTTTGACGATCTTATCAATTAATTACGTGAGGCATTGTTATGTAATGTCTCATAAAAACGTCACGCAATAATTTCGTGTTAGAACGAAACAAAAATAAACTTGAGAATATTTCATGCTGAAAGGAGTATCTATATACAAACACAGCAATAGTATTATGTTTAAAGTGCCTATGTCACGAGATGTTGTTATTTTGCATTTTCTGGTTGATAGCTGTATTCCAAATAAACTTGGGAATATTACATGCTGAAAGGAGTATCTATATACAAACACAGCAACATATTTAAAGTGCCTATGTCACGAAATTTTATTATTTTGCATTTTCTGCTGGATAGCTGTATTTCAAATAAACTTGGGAATATTTCATGCTGAAAGGAGTATCAATATACAAACACAGCAACAGCATCATATTTAAAGTGCCTATGTCACGAAATTTGCTTTTTTGCATTTTCTAGTTGATAGCTGTATTTAAAATAAACTTGGGAATATTTCATGCTGAAAGGAGTATCGATATACAAACACAGCAATAGTATTATGTTTAAAGTGCCTTTGTCACGAAATTTTGACTTTTGTATTTTCTGGTTGATAGCTGTATTTTAAATAAGAAATAATCAACCTCAGCGCTTAACGAGTTCTCCTTGACCATTTTTTTGAGCATTGATAGTGCGATTTGGCGGCCAAAAAGTGTCTTGTAAATGCCGAATAGAGCACCGTGCCAAAAAGAGCACGACGCATAAATTATGACTGATTATGCAATTTAAGCTAGGTGT